TATGTTTTTTGTTTTTTTTCTTTTTAATAATCCAATCCCAAGCAGCATTTGTAAATTGCCTATACATAGCGAGATTTTTAATTGTACATTCAAAAACACAAATAAAGTTTCCATTATTATTATTATTATTATTACTATTATTATTATTATTATTATTATTATTATTATTATTATTATTATTATTATTATTGTTATTATTATTATGTTGTGATCCTCTCTAGTTCTCTGGTATTTTCTGGGTATAATCAGCTATGTGTCAGCCATTTTCCTACAGTTTAGAAACACAACACTTTCCACAAGATATGTGTAATACCAAGGATGCCTGACAACTGTGCAATGCTAAGAATTTTTATTATTATTATTATTATTATTATTATTATTATCATCATCATCATCATCATTATTATTGTTGAAAGGTTTGAACCCGGGAGTCATTTCATGAGTAACTGAAACATGATCATTCGCGTGAACGTAGTCCTGAATAATACTGTTGTTGTTGACAGTGACTGACATTTTGACAACTTATGCGGTAGTCTTCTTCAGAGTCAAGGCTGTACTCAAGAAAACTTTTAGGGAGGCCAGTGCTTTGAACCTGTGAAATTTAGTGTGCTTAGCATAGGATAGCTGTAAAAAAAATCTAAAGATTTCTTAGATGTCCAAGAGCTAAAGTAGGGTGCCAGGAGCCACCCGGCATTGCTATAGCACAGCCCTGAGCAGCATCCACTGTCGTGAACACTGAGACTCTTAGTACCAAGAGACATCCAGAGGACAGGGAATGGCTAAAAAACACTGCACTGTAAAATATTACTAGAGCCCTGGAAATTACCAACAATTCCCCCATTTTTATCAAAACAATAGGTCAAGTCAAGGTGAAATTATCTCAGGAAAATGTTCTTTGAGGAAAATAATTAAAATGGCGAAAATTCAGGCCATTTAGGTTAACATATACTCTACAGGGTTTTTATTTTACTGTTTCACAGTGATCTGAGTGGTGTCATGGTTGACATTCCTACACAGCCAAATCCTGCAAGGTAATATTTAGTAAATAATGACTGATTGATTTCACTTGCATCTGTTTGGAACAAAATTGACACTAGATGTCCTGTACATGTATATTTTAAAAACCAAATTTATATACCTTAAAGAGAGGAGTATTTCTTTTGTTTTGGTTTTATTATCAAACTGACCCTTGTCAATGTCTGGTTTATCTTTCTGGTATTTTTTTGTATCCTTACGTGCATATCTCACCATTCTTCCTTTTGTGAATGTTGAGTTTTTGTTTTTATTGTTGTGTTTTTTTTTTAAGAAAGAAAAGATTGTTCTTATGTTTCCATTATTTTCATGTTGCTGGGTTGGTTTATTTATGAAATGGTCAGTTTTTGTTAAGTGTGACATCAAGCACGCCAATAAGTGTGTACGAGTTCATTTGACAACTGGAGGGGTATTTTTATTCATTCATGTCTTTGATATTTTTCAATTGCCGGCTATTTCTATTGCAGTTTCACCATTTTTTCATTTTTTATGTGGTTTTGCAGTTTTCTTAATTTTACAGTGTCCCCCTCCATAGTTATGCTGTAGTGGATGGAGTCAACTTTTGCACTGTTTACTATTATCTAAAAAAACTGTATTGCATATATGCTATGATGAAGGGGATCAAAATTAATATTGTTTGGAGAAGATACAAAATTTGCAGTTGTGATGAGGATTAATGATGTAAGGTCCTGTAAAATTAACCCATTCGCCCCTGAACCGCCTGTAACCGCCCGTGTGGATCCACGTCCTTTCTACCCTTTGTGACGTCATCAGTTTTAACGGTCAAGGACAACTTTGTTCACTAACTTGTGCAGAGTGAAGAGATCTTTCAAACCATGCCAGAATGAACACAATTCAGTCAAGGACACTGGAGAAAGAAGAAAAAACCATGTGACATTGACCTGAAAATCTCCATGAAAATCTTGTTCCATTGCTCACCTACCTTTCCTTTCACCTAATTCTAAGATCCTAAAAGCTTTCCTAAAAACTCTTCCCACCAAAATGAAGCCTACTGAATGCCCAGCAAGAGAAAAAAAAATGAGGCAAGAAAAGCGAAAAAAGAGGGGAGAAGAGAAAGCAAAAAGTAAAAGTCAAGACTGTTGTGTCACTTTTAAACCCAAACTTCGCAAGCTGATATTTTGCATCTGGATCAGAAGGCCGCGAAGTGTACGACCTGTAAACCGGTTTGTGGTAAGTTTTAGCTCTTTATAGCACGACAGTGACCTGAAAACCACTCGACTAGCGTAAAAACGCGTTTTTCGGCAAAATCTCCAGGAGCGAATGGGTTAAGGAAAGATGCTTACATACTAAAATCCAGGAAGCAAGAGCAGCTTGTTTAGTATGGAATGAGTTGTAAAAACCAACAATCTATTTTGCTTTACTAATAATAGTTACTCTTTTTTAACAGCCAACTTTCACAACTTAAATTTACAAGTAAGTAGAACTGAATAAGATTTCAACTTCTGAAGTAAACATACTAAATCTGAGTAAAATCATTTGAATTTTTATCATGTGGTTGGTTTGATGTTTCAGTGATTCTTAGTGTCAGGCCATGTTTTTTCATTACCAGAATGTTAAATTTGAAAGGGACATGAAAACCTGTGCATTTACAACTGGCTTTTTTTTCACTAGGGCCATTTATACAAGGAAAAATAAGATGTGTGTAACATAAGATGTGAACTGTACCATTTTTATGAGCATGTCTTCTCTAAAATGAAAACAGCTCGTATAAATGGTTCGCGTCTTATTTCTGTTCTTGACTCGTGTTCATCTAAATGTTGCACGTAGCAACGGCAATCCAACATGGCACGTGTTTCAAAGTTATCGCGTCATGTTACGATTTGCCACAGAGGCAATATTTTGAAGAGCTTTTTAATGAAAATGGAGGAGTTTTCTCTTATGACAAAAACCCTCTTTTGCTGCAGAATTATAAAAAAATGCTCTCTTTTTTTTGTTGGTGTGTTTTATGTGTATAGTTCAGAAAAGACAATCAGTTCAGTGACCACACAGCATTTCAATAATCACGCAAAAAACACACACACAAAAGAAACAAAAAAACTGCCAGTATCTTGCCAGTCTGCCATGGGACAAGCAAAAATTTTCCCATCAATAATTAATGCATGCATACTGTGCATTCAGAACTTATGTAAGACACTGTTACGAAAAATTGTATTGCGTGACTAGTGTGACTATCTAGAAGCTTCGCAAGAGTTCATCAGTTTGTTTATTTTAGGATATTGCGTAAGCGTTTCTAAATCGGTATATTTGTAATCTTTCTATAATTAGACTATTTGGAAAGTTCAAGTTGGCGGAGGCCGTGTAAATTTATCAAGTTAATTGAAGTTGGTGGTGGCCGTGTAAATTTATCAAGTTAATTGAAGTTGGCGGCGGCCGTGTAAGTTTATCAAGTTACGTGCTGTTGTGGAGTTTTACTTCGTGGAAACTACGTTCATTTTGGAATAAATCTTCTTGTTGCTGTTCCGACAACCCTGCGTTCAGTTTAGTTTGCAAGCTACCCGTCCTCTAAAAGATTACCCGCGTAACAGACACGAAGGTCATTTATACGGATTTTTGTCTCATCTTAGCTAAGTCCATCTTATCTAAGAACAGGTGTTCTAAAATGAGATGTGTCTTAGCTAAGTCACGTCTTATTATAGACGAAATGTGCCGTTTATGAGACGCGTCTTATGTAAGATGTGTCTTATTTTTCTTCGTATAAATGGCCTCATCCTCGGAGACCCAGGGGCAGATACTGGGCGGGAGGGAAAGTCTAAACAGGTGGAAAAATGTGGCACGAACAAAAGAGAAGGACGGCACGAAGAGCCCCTGGGGACAATGTCTTTTGTGTTTTTCTGCCCAATCAAAAGGCAGAACGGCAGCGACCGTTTGGAACTGGTCTCGTAAGACATTGTCCCCAGGGGCTCTTCTCGCTGTTCTTTACTTTTCTTCGTGCCATATTTTTCGGCCCGTTTAGACTTTCCCTCGCCCCCACTATCTGCCCCTGGGTCTCCGAGGATGAAATGGCCCTTTTGTGACCATCTTTGTTTTTAATCAAAAATTAAATATTTCCTAAACCACATGCTCTTAAGGTGGATGCAAAAGAAACAGAACTCCAAAAAGAGTCAAGTATGGTGATTTTAGTCATGAATATGTACATAAATGAATTTTATTGAAAAGAATTTCATGAATATGCTGAATATACTGAATATCCTGTGTGATGTACTAGAATTTTAATGTTTTGTATGACTAATATGACCCTCGATTCTTTCCAGTCTTGAAAGCTTCATTAAAGGAACAGTCAGGCTGGTTTGGTAAGTGGAAAAAACCATAAGGACTGGTAACACCAGGCCATTCTCTTTGGTTATTAGTCTGTAGAATACGTACGGCATGTTGCAGAGTCCCAGTCGATTTGATGGTTCATCTGTACAAATAATGGTTATCAGCAATGTGATTGTTGACCTCACCATTTCTTGGCACTCATTTGTGTTCAGTCAGTTGCATGGTAAGGTTTTTGCCGGTCTCAACAATGTAAGTGGCGTGGCCATCACTTTTACTAATTACTAGTAATGTTTGCCACATGCAGTGCTCCCTATTTTGAGTTTAATGTCAAAACAGAGACCAGAGACTATCTTTGGTAAAGTTTGTCTATCAAGCTACCTTTTCAACAGTCTGCAGTGACTAGATCAAGTAAATGATTATTTTGGGCTTACTGACTGTCATTGGGTAATTTTTGTTCTTTGTTTTAACCACTCATAAACGAGGTTTGACTAAGCAAAAATTTCTTTGACCAAACAAACCACCATCCAAAAATTATTTTGAGCACTTGACATCCTTTCACAGAGCAGACAGTAGTGACACTAAGAAAAGTTTGATGTTGTCGTGGTCTAAAGCTTGTTGTTACTTGACTGTTGTTAGTTTGTACATGTACATGTACATGTACTCATAAAATATGCTGATCTTTTTGTTTAGCAAAAGGGGATCCATATGTAAAACTTGTGGTTGATGGCAAACAACCTTCCAAAAAAACTGAGCCAGCCAAAAAGACATGGGAACCAGTATGGGAAGAGGAGTTTACAATGTAAGTTCCACGTCATGTCAGCTTGTTATACAAAATAGTTTGAAGGCACTGCCATTGATGGTTCTTCCTGAATTGAACAAAACTACATGTAGTTCGCTCTCATTCAGGGTAGGAAATTAGCCTTTACCAATAGTAACTATTGGTCACTTGAGTAACTTCACTAACCACAAATTAAAGCAATTTGTTTCAGGGAAATAATTTTATCAGAAACTGCAAGGGTGTTTCATGAATTTGCTGAAAATTGTTTATTTCCCTTGTATTATTACATGTAGATGAAGTTACAGTGGAGCTTTTCGCCAGAGTTCCCCAGGGAAATAGCTTGGGTTGGGCTAGATCTGGGTTTTGATCACATTTTGTTTTTTAGGTTTGTGGTTAATATCCTTGTTCGTGAACTGTAAATATTGAAGAATGACATAAACTGTGAAACATTTTTACCCCTTAAATAGATCCTCCACAAGTGTTCAATCTAGAAATTTGTCGAAGTGGGTCATACATGTATGTCCCACGTGGTATTTTGAATTGGGTCATTTCATAAATGGTCTGGTTAAAACTATGATTTTGGAGTTTTTAACAACTGACGTCATTGTTGGCTCATGAAGTTTTGGAGGTTGACTCAACAAACTGACTTCTCCAGCTTCATGGCCATCCTTATCCAGCCCATCTTCATGTTTTTCAGGTTCAACTGCTATTCTCTTTTGCGTAAAAAAACGAATTTAGTTTTTGTTGTCACTTCATAATGAAAGGAAAAAAAAGAACAAACTAATTCAACAAAGATCAACAAACACAGCATGAAAGATCTGCAAGGCAACGTACGCCGAACATCAAAATTTATGCGCCAGTCTCTCTCGGAATTGCATGGAAATGAAATGACGGTCATTTTGCGTGTTCATTTCAGGCTTGTAAGCACACTTTTTTTAAAATTTACTTTTATTATTGCCTGATGCTTTTGAATTGCTTATGTACAAACTGTATGAAGTAACGTTTTTTTGTATCAGTATTACTCCGCCATAATTTCATTTTGCGTCAAAATAGAATGTCTCGCATCAATGATGCAAAAACACAGTGTAGATTGAACACTGCTCCACATCAATTATTTTTAGCGTTGGTGATTCAGCCCTTAATTTTGAGACTACAATAAAGGTGTTGACTTCATTCATGCTTTAAAAAGGACTAACTACAGTCACTGGCAAGTCAAATTACAGTCAGGACCATAAAATTGCATTTGAATATATTAGATGTAAAAACATTCATTCCTTATGTTTTGTATCTTAATTATTGGATTAACAAATGCAGAGCAATAATTGAAGAATATTTTGTACCATGTTCTTTATTTTCAGCCTTGTGACACCTTATAGTCTTTTAGAACTAGAAGTCAACAACAAATTTTCTCTCAAGAGTGATGTTCCATTAGGATCAGCAAAGATTCAGTTAAACGATGTGCTGCATACAAACCATGGAAAATGTATGTTTCTCCTTGCAAAGAGGAATTAAGAATGAAATAAATGATGCATTCTTTTTCAGTGAATGGATATAGTATTATCTCTTTTTTTTAAGTGGCATGCCACTGTCAATGTGTTTCTTGTCGTTCTTAACACTGTTACTGTAAGGATTGTACATGAAGGACTCAAGGTTACTGTTCTCTTTTTTAGTCCTACATGTATTTCCAAATTGTCCTGTAACTTTTCATCTGATTTAACAATAGCAGAACCCTGGCACATTTGAACTTTTGAGCAGACTAGACTAGAACAAATCAGATAAGTGAAAAACAAAAATTGCTGTCATTTTTAGCTTTCAGAGGCTGATTTAGATGCACACATTGAAAAATCATTTAAAAATTGAAAGTGTAATTTTTTAAAAAAAAATGGTTTGTTTGTTTAATACTTGTAGCTAATTAAGGTGTCTTCACCCAGTTATTTTGTGAGGGTACCATCCTACTTTGAAGATCTCTGATATCCCCAACTTTACTTTGATTGTAAGTCTAACATATAGCATGGATAACATATAGATCAATCTACAATACAGCATAAAATTTTTGTCGATCGGCGTAAATGTCATGTGGTTATATTGCCACGCCTCTTTGGGGTCTGAGTAGAAATCCTGCTGTTGACAGCAATTTTTCGTGAAAATCTCTCAGCTACATATAGTTCGCATTAGTGCCTTGTGTTGAACAGAGTTTTACCAAAAAGACCTGGCTGACTTCCGAATGGTCACCGAGATATGATAATTTTGGTATGGTGAGACAGGCGATTGCGTGATATGTATAGGTTTAACTCACGACTTTTAATAAATTAACTTACTTCTTGTGTCTTTGCCAAAAAATCAAGAAATGCTACACAATCTCTTCTCCATGAACTTCTTCTCTCACCCGAATAGCATTCAACACCCCAGCCATTTTCTTTAGAGTTTTCAATTCTCTGCATGATGTACACTCAGCTGGCTGGAGACGTTACGTGACGGGAATCCCTTCTATTTTCTCATACTAACTTATCATATCTTGGTGAGCATTTGGAAGCCAGGCAAGAGTTGTCATTGCACGCGTGCTGAACAAGAATGCTGTATCATGACAGACTAGAAACAATAGACAACTCCCAAAGCACAAACTCAGCCAAAATGCTAAAAATCTTCAATGTTTATTCAAGTTTGGACTTATAAAAGATAATGTCACAGTTTTTCAATGACCATGAAATTCAGAATCCAGGTAGTTAGTTAATCAGTTGTGGCCCTGAAAAAATTTGAAGGACAAAAACTACATGTTTTTAAGACAATGCTTTTTTCGTGAGAAGGACTCTTAAATGCTGTCAAATGTCAACAAATAGCTAAAACTATAATTTCTATGTGTTTGCATTGCTAGAAATCGCACGCATTTACAAGGCCCTAAAGCTTTTTGCTGACTTGCAAGGACCCATCTGTTATAAAGATCCCCAAAATAAAGGGGTAAATCTCATAGTTTATTAGATATAATCGTTTAAAGTTTGCTTATCATTTTCACATAAATTATGACCTAACTTTGGAAACCGCTGAATTTCTCACATTGGGTCTTTGTGATTTTGGTGAAACTCTGTTCAACGCAAGGCACTAATGCAAACTATGTGTAGCCAAGAGATTTTCACAAAAAAATGCCGGCAACAGCAGAATTTCGACTCAGACCCCAAAGAGGCGTGGCACCACATGACATTTACTCCGATCGCCAAAAATTTTACGCTGTATATTGTAGATTGATCTATATGTTATCCATGCTATATGTTACAGTTACGATCAAAGTAAAGGTGGGGATAACAGAGAGCTTCAAAGTATGATGGTACCCTCACAAAATAACTGGATTGAGTCACCTTAAATTATTTGATATAGGGTTATACGTTGTACAATGTAGGTATTAACTTATCACATCCCCTTTCATGAAAGACACCCCTTAAGTTATCCAGTAACCTAAAGACTTGGTGTGATCAGAATTTGCATTTACTTTTGAGGGTGCAAATAGAAGCTGTAAGGGAACAAGGATTGATTTATTTATTGGAATATCTATTGAATTTCTATTTCTTTTGCAGTGAATAGACATAATTTAAAAGTGAATATTCTCCTGGACAAAAATGGCACACCATGTCAAACAGGTGTGCTGGAAGTTATGCTTGATGGAATGAGTGTGAATATGAGACACTTTCCTCGAAGGCTACCACATCAAACACCAACGCCCGTTGCCAATGGCCCTTCTACAGCAAACACACTCCCAGTTAATGGTGGTACACCATCACGACAAACTCAACAGTTAGTATTTTCATTTACTGTCTTTTAAACTTTATATAATAATATATTACTATATGCTCTCTTAAAGGACATTTAAATGGTTGTCTAATGGTTTGTAAACACTTTAAGCCACTTAATAGAAAGGTGTTTGTTTATGTAATCTTGCGGAAAGCCACAAATTGGAGTAGGAATCGTTTCAACTTTTTTCTACACTGATTGTTTTCGAAAGTTTAGCAATGGAAAATTTAATTCAATCCAGTATTGTTCAGTGGAGTTCAACAAACAGCACAGAACTAAGGTTTTAGAATATGGCAGTGTAAAGATTTGGTTTATCAATTGAGTTGATAAGGAAGATTGACCACCACAGGGAGATAGAGAAGCTGGTGTTTTGAGCGGCAGCATCAGAGCAAATTGATTCACCAGAACAGTCTTTTGGGGCCTTGTCCTCTGATGCTAAAATATCAGCTTTTGAAGTTCAGGCATGTGCAGAGGGGAGAATTTTGAGACAGTCTTTGGCTTAAAAAGTGACACAACAGTATCAAGTTTTACTGTATGATTGCCTTTTTTCATTATTATCTTTTTTTTCGCTAGGCGCATGCATTTACTAGGCGGGAAACATTTTGAGGAAAAACTTTAAGGAGTTTAAGATATGATGTGAATGTTACTTGTGCAAGTTGGTTGTAGAACAAGATTTGCAGGGAAATTTTCTGGTCAAATTTTCAAGGTTTCTTGTGTTTTTTTTTTCTGGCCTGTTGGACTCAGTAAATTGTGCTCACCCGGTTAGGGCAGGTCAGTAGTGAATGGTTTAACAGGTTAAAAACATTAGTTTTTTGTGTCTGTGTCTTTGATTTCACTTGACACTATAATCTTATGCTTGCCCATGTGCTTGTGCTGCAAGTGAAAACTGGCTTTCTACATGTGTGAAAAATCTCTAAATTTAAATGAAAAGTGTTAACCTGTCCAACACTTTTTGGCTATGACTGTAGGTTAGAGCATACTGACTTAGGTCAGCATATTTACTTTGTCTCAGTTCCAAATATTTACCTAGGTTATTGATCAAATTGATATAAGATAAAAAACTAACCTACAAATAATTGGACTGACTGATGAGTGACCTACAACATATCTAGGTTGAAATCCAACACGCTGTTGTCAAATCTCTATTAACTGGCCCTTCATTAAACAGACATCTTCTATTCAGCATACACGTTTCAAATTCACTTACATTAGTTCCATAAATAAAGCAAATCCAGAGAAGATATGAACAACCACATGAATTTTCTGAATTTCCATGGTACATATTAAGGCATATTTTCCTACCATAACACCATCAAACGATAAAAAAGACGGCAAAATCGACCTTTCTCTTCGAAATCATTCACAAAAACAACCACGAGAGGAATAAGCACTTTCAACTTCTGGCGTTTCCGACAGCCAATCAGATCTTGTGGCATTGTTCTAACAGCCAATCAGCGTTACGGCCAAAATCTGGCCGTAACAAGCACAAACGTGAGAGAGTTTGTATCACGCCCAATTTTAGCGCTGGCTGTTAGAGAGAATGTATGAGAATCACTAAAATTGGGCCTGATGTCAGGTTAGTTTACAAAATAAGGTAAAAAGTTTACAATTTCTGATTCTGGGACTGGGTTACAATAACGCCAAAAATAATATACTTGTATAAAATATCACACTGTTGTTTAAAGGGTGAGCTCATATTCGAGGGTGGGGAAAAAGCTACTTGTATATCTTGCCGTACAGCACTTTGGTAGGACTGAGTTGTTAGAGAGCGCGTCCAAATATTGGTAGGGAACCCGATCATGGGAAATGGACCCGATTAATTTTCCGATAGTTCGGAATTGGTACCGATCTGTAGGCACCAGTTGTCGTTTCCGATTATGATAAGAACTTTGCTGATTCAATCAGAGCCAATTGACATTCTGATGTTCATATGTGTCATCGTCATATTATATTATGTTACCTGATATGAAATGAAGCGTGTGACGAAACCAAATGATGAAAGAGTCGTTTCACTCCAAAGTAATTTCTATCGACTGTACCTTTTTCCTACTGATCCATAACAAATAACAATATTGTATGTTCCTGTGTGTTGTGTTTCAAGTTTGTTGATTTGATGCGCGCCTACACATGCTTTTCGACCTTTTGCAGAGGTATTTCCTTCAGTCAGTCGCAAACACCACTCTACCCCATAAAATTTATGCTATGAAAATGAAAAGGAGTTACCGAAAAAAGGAGTTACATGTGTAAATATTATGACGCAAACACCACTGTTCTTTGTTGATACATAGCAAACAAAACACCATACTGAGTAGTGTGTTCTTTACTCAATACTTTCTAACAATCAATCCAAAAACAGAACCAGAACTCACTTTCTCAAAACACAACTGGATGCATAGACTTGCTACAAGTAGACCTCATGGGTTTTCTAGCGAGCAGAGCGAGAGCAGAACAATGGATAATATAAAACCACGGGATAAACTTTTACGAAAATTTGCGTCTTTCATTCAACGATCGTAAACGAAAGGTGCAATGCGATCTGAGGCAAAAAATACCTGTAACCAATTAGATTACGGCCTTAGATTGTCTCCAGGGAATTAGCAAAAGAACTGAAAGATTCCCACACTCGTGAGTCACGGAAGACATGGAACGAAGTTTCATACAGGAGCTACCAAAGAGAGAATGGCAACTTAGCTGTTTTGTGAGCTTGAGCATGGTGCCACGTGAAATTGCTTTGCACTCTCAGCACTTAGGAAAATTTGCCCTTGACTCAAGAAAAATCAGAACCATTTTTACCGGAGTGTTCAACTGACACAAACTCTGCATACATCCGGTAAGTTTGACTAAATTTAATAGGGAAAAGAGAAAACCAGTTGAACGCCTCCTTCAGTCACTTTTTTGAGTTCATGCAACCAATAAACAACTTGCAGCCTGATTCTCAGACGATGTCCTCTTCTCTCCTGTGGCAATTTAAAAAGTTAAAGTACACAACATGGTAACAGTATTTGCATTTTGGTCATGGATGTTCTGACTTCTTTTTATTTTTTTCGCTTAAAGTCCTAAACTGTTTATTCCTCCAAAGATTCTTATAATTATGCATTTTGGGTTCCGGTTAGCACGGGCCCAAGCTATTTTAAAATTATCATTTTGAGATCGTACACTTGCAATGAACATTGTGCCGTCTTTCACTCAAAAGATGCTCTTTAGCGTTGTTGAATGACCTGCTGTTTCTTCTCATGCCCATTTTGTTCCACAAATTTAATCTTTTCTGGTCATACTCTGTCATAGGAAATACGAACACATGTTCGAAACCTTGACGTTAAATTTCATTTGAAACAAGACACATTTATAAGAAAGATAATGTTAATAATTAGAAGAAACACTTTATCTGCTGGTCTACAACATTTAAATGGGAAATTTAACGTGTTTGTGCATCGAAAAACAGTCATTCACGCTTTTACTTTTGTTTTTGTGACGGGTTATTTGAGCTGCTAGATATTTTTGATGACCTATGTTAATTGGCCTGATAAAGAATTGAGACTCGTTGCCGATTCCGTTTCATTCGGTACCGATAATATCGGGTCGAAACATCAACAGAATCAGAAAAAATTGGTACCCAATTGATCGGCATCGGTGTGACCCAATGCCAATATTTGGACGCGTTCCCTTACTAGAGCGTAAATTGTAAGGCTAGCTCTCAGCACACAAGGTAGGCAATAAGTAGTGCAGGCATGATTCTGGGTGGTCACAGATGCTATGCCACACCCTAAGTCACAAGTCAATATGTCAAGAAAGTGTCAGTATAGTGGGTATTGGGGAATAAGATATGTAATGCCCTTTTCTGGACTTGCTCGACCTTGTCACTTAGATTGACAGGTTGGCTGTTTGACCACAGGACACAACAGTATTTCCGAACTGAGCGTATCAATGCAAAGTAGACATTGAGGAGGTCACTAGAGGGGATCCCAGCCTGTTTCAGAACCCTAAGAATGTAAAGACACCTTGGTACCTATTTTGTTGATATTGTCATTTCACTTAAGGGTGTCAACGATGTAAGCCCGAGTACGTTATTGGAGGGCACATTTTCCAGAGGAAGCAGTGTGCAAAGAAAGTAGTGTCCGATAGCCCGGGGCTAGTGGATTTGCTTTCGGGCTAGTGAATTCTGTTCTTAACTTGCCCAAAGGGCAAGTGAAGTTTTTTGAGGAATTCAATTTACGGAAGAACCGTCAAATCAATTCTGCTCATCAAAACGTTTTTGGGGCTTTTTGAAATGACATTTGGGCTAATATATGCTAGCCTCAGCTTGCCCAAATGGCAAGCTGTGAAAAATGACTTTCTTTGCACCCTGGGAAGATTGTTGATAAGAAGTCATGGAAGGTCAGGTCTACTAGTTTGGAGAGTAGTAATCATCATCTCCTTGCACTTCTTCAGGTGTAGGTTCATCTTTCTTGTGATGAACACTGAGAGGTGATGTCAAGATTGGATTGCAGGGAAGATGTAACACCCACTGTGACAACCTCTGATATTGTTAGGTCGTCAACATACTTCCAGTGACTGGAGCTTAGGGGACATTGACTGTTAAATCATGGATCATAATTGAACTGAATAAGCCTTTGCATTAGTTGATCACATGATCAACTTTCAGTAAACATGAAAACAGTTCGCTTTTGAAAAATGTTGTTAGTACAAGCTGAAAGAGCATATTAAAATTAGGTAGCCTGTAAATTTTCAGCTGTATATCTCAAAAGTAGCGATTGCAACAGCCACAGAGTAGATTCAGAAAAACTATCTTTGAAAAACTCAAAACTTTACAAAGAACATATGGGCTGACAAACATTTTTGCCACCCAGCAATTTTGCAGTTTTCGATGGCTGCTGTTCTGATCCTTTGTTATTGCTTGCAAAGTGCTGAAAATTGCTCAAAATTAACCAACTCTTTTCAACTTGTGAATTTAATTTGTGCATACAGTGATGTCTTCTTTGGGTTAACTGGTATGCTAATGAGCAAAAATATAAACAATGATGTCAGCAAAGATTTGCCTATTGCTTTAACAAATGTCAACATTCTTTACTGGTGGTGACAGATATATGTTGTTTCACTGTGAACCATAAAGTGATCATGTATCATATTCTATCCCCTTAATTTTGGGATTCTAGTTCCATTTTGCCATGTTAAATAACATCCTAAATTTTAGAACAATTTTATGCCGGGTTTTTGACAGTTTTTTTAAGTGGTGGACGTATTTCTGAAAACACTGGATGCAAAATTTTTTGACACTGCCAGATGCCTTGCAAGTGCCAAAGGCAGGAACTTCTAAGGGGGGTCTGGGGGCTGATCCCCTCAGGAAATTTTTAAAATAGAACACTCCAAAATGATGTTTCCAGTGTTTCTGGAACACAAGAGTCAGTTTCCCAGTCATATTCTAAGAAATGACGAGTTAAACAATTTATTTGAATTCATCATTTATATAAATATCGTACTGCAGGCATTTTTCTAAGGCTTGAAAAATCCGTAATTCTGTGACGCCCATTTCGCCTCTCTCTCATGAGTTGAAGAGCTCCAAATTCAAATAATTATTGGCTTCAAAGTACCGGACATAGAATAGCAAATGACCAGACGAAACATCCTTCCTCTGGCTTCAAACGAAACCCCTGACTTTTATGAATCAGTCCCCTCCTTTTAGCCGTCACCTGGCTATTTCCCAAGAATGAGTGACCACAAGGTTTGGATGTAGTTTGTTGAGTTAACAGAAATATATGTAGTTTACAATTCTAATTACAACCAGACTTAATTTCCTAGAGTTCTATGGTCAAGGTGTACATGTATTTGTACTCCAGAAGACCAGTTTTCTACAGTTGTTACATACTCAAGAAAATGTATACTCTTCCTTAATTGTAAATATAAATCTAAAATACAGTAAAATTCTTATGCTTGATGATTCTACTTGTCTTTTTGTACAGGAGAACAAATGATGGTGGTGATGTACAGAGGCGACATCCCAGACAGTCATCTGCTCGGCAGAGACCTGTTAGCACTGGAGCTTTAGGAACAGCTTCTGTAAATACTCCTCAGAGTTCATCCCAAGGAAGTAACACCAGAAATAGTGTAACAACATCTACCCCACCTGCTTCTCATCCACCACACCCCCAGACACAATCAGCTCAACCAGGTACAGTCTTTTAAGGAGTCTTTTTTGCTGTGCTGTAAAATGATAATCTTTTAAAACCCTTGATTTTTAGCTCACATTTATATCATTAACTTATTCTGTGGGCATTATGAAGATGATGATGTTATTCACATTAAGTGTTTATGCACTTGTATAAATTCTGCATACAACTTTATGAAAAATTATCATTAAATTTTCACATCTAAAAAAATCAAAGAAAGCTGTACTTTACTGTAAGTTGAACCGTGTATTTATTATTGACTAGTTTGAACTTAAGCCATAAGGAAATGCCAAGAATGATCCTCCCTGTACATGTAACTGATGTCAAGATAATTGTTGACAATGTAACAGAAGATTGTTTTTTTTAACAGGAAATAATTTGAATGCCTCACCATCAGCAAGGCAAAGACAAGGAAATGAGGAACCACTACCTCCAGGGTCGGTCAACACTGTTTGTAGTATCAAATCACTCACATAACTATCAAATGCTCTCATATTTATTCCAAAAAAAAAATGACACCTGCATTGTTAAAAAAAAAAACTTTTTTATTAACTGTTTGTTTTCTTAGGTGGGAGCAGCGTGTAGACCCTCACAGCAGAATTTACTATGTTGATCACAATACACGTACAACTGCATGGGAAAGACCTCAACCCTTACCACCAGGGTAAGTTGAATAAAGAACTGCTGGTGATTAAGCTTTTTTGGCATGCAACAGAGGCAGTTGGTAATGTGGTATACCAACCAGTTGTAGTTCTTACCTTTATAAACTAGTTGTGTTCCTTTAGAAACATTTGTGACCTCCCACGGGAAGACATACCTAACAGCTTTCCATTTTCAAATGGCTTTCTGTTTACAAGCCGTTTGTAAACCATTCTAACAAAAGGCAACAAAGGCTTGGTCACCCATTTGCTGGAAACATCAACCCGTTCGAACGGCTTTGTCACCTGTTTGTTGGAAACATCAACCTATTCGAACTACTTGGTCACCCGTTTGTTGACGGCATCAGGTTGAATGAACGACCTGGTCACCTGTTTGTTGAAGACATCAGGCTGATTGAACGGCTTGGTCAGCCGTATACTATCATGGCATCCCTTCAAATTTTCTGTTGAATGACATGGAAGACAAGTAACGCTATACGTTCAAAATCTTTCACTTGTTCAAGTGGTCAATTAATTCAATATTTAAAAAATCTGTTTGACTTCATTGGCACAAGTTTGTCGGCTTTAAACTCTTTTTTTGGCCTTATTAAAACAACGTGCTTACACTAGCGATCGATTCCTTATCAGACGAAAAATCTAAGCTGAAGATATCCTATGTGAAGAAACATTTTAAAAGAAACCCTCCAAACACTTTTGCTTGCCACATGTTCGTCAGTTTTTTGCTCGCGGTCGCACGAATCACCAGAGGAAGGAAATACTGTGGGTAATAACAAGAACGTCAGATTCTAGTAGTTGTGCCCGAGCAGGACTTGGGATATTGTCATTTTGGCAGACGATTTTTTTGTTGAGAGTTGGAAGCAACTTGAGAATGAAGAGAAAAAGTTCCACATTACTCATTTGTAATTTGTTCGTATTGAAACCAATTCCCAGCGGGTCGAATTTCAAGCAAAATTTGCGGGAAGTTGTTTATGTGAGCGCTATGCATTTTTTTTTAAGAAGCTTTCAACAGAGTCGGGGGGGTTTTCTGATGTAGTTTTTAAATCAAAGAAAGCCTATCATCTACTCGTGGGAACGTTGTTTAGAAAATGATCAAATGGTTATCAACTGTGGTTTTCCCACAGTAAATTGTAGGAAATGATAGAAATTCAGATTGTTTACCCATGTACAATATATTTTTAATATACTATCTTTGCTCTGGAAACACAATACTTTTCTTTTTGTTTATTGCACTTTATTAAATAATAGTTATTTAGGTACATGTTTATAGAAAAACAACAAAACAAATAAGCAAACAAAACAAGCCAGAAACGGGGAAAAAAGAAAGAAAGAAGATAAAAAAAGAATGGTAAAAAAATCACATCCATTTTCGGCCCATACAGGTTCTTAAGAATAGCATGGCATGACATTTTCTTACTTTCAGATCACTTTTCAGCAAGCTGGAATTTGTATATCCCCCATGATCTTTCAGAGTCAGAAGAGTAATTGCTCATTTTCTTGTCAAGTTTAACGCCTGGACGAGTCAAAGGCTCTTGAAATCCAATCCCCAAGTTAACCATCGTACTCATTTGAAAGACTCCTACCTGTCTTAAATTTGGTAAGATCTCTAACCGTGCTGTAGAAAATTTGCGACAAAGAAAACTCTGAGGCTGACATGAGTCTGAGCAGCGAACGCCGAACAATGCACGCTGTCAGCGAAGAATTTGATCCCACCGAACTTCGGAGAGCGCGTGCTTCTTTGGAAGCAATAGATCTTTGCACTCTCGAGTTCGGACCCGATTAATTACGAAGTCCATCTACTACGAGTGAGCGAGTGACTCATTTGCATATCTCTGTCCCTGCAATAACTCGTGGTATGCTCGCGCATCGCCACGAGTTAAAAATTACAGTCTCAAATAGAGATGTGTGTTAGCAAACAGTTGTTATTGTCGATATGATGCAATAGAAGTTTCATTCCAGGAAAAACTGGATGGCCTGTTGTGAGAGATAATCGTCAGTGTAAGCTGTTTAGTCGTTTGGGGAACCCGTTTGGAAATTTTGATGGGTCGTTCGAACGTGTAAGTAAGCCGTTCGCCTGTTCATGTTAGCGGTTCAAAAAACTTAATAACCTGTTAAGTCGTTTGATAAACCCATTTGAAGGAGTGAGTGAGCCATTAGCTTGTTCTTGTTAGCTGTTTGAAAAAAATGGCTACATTTTTACCTGTTCAGCCATTTGATGAACCTGTTCGAACGGGTGAATGAGCTGTTTGCAACCCGCTTGGAAGCCGTGTGTTTCACCCATTTATTGGGAAGCCGTTAGGTACGTCTTCCTTTGTGAGGTCACATTTGCTTTGGATTGAATGATTGAAAGCTTTTTAAATAGCTGAGTATGATCTGCTCAGCTGTCCTTCCCTCTTGCCCAGAGACCCAAAATCTGAAAATGTGCTGTGTAAAGATTTGGTTTTGTGAGTTAACCTCTCGCAGCAATTGATTGCAAGGAACTATTATAAAAATATAGTGTATTATGGCTAGTAAACGCAAGAAGCTCATTAAAACATAATTTTTTTTAGGTGGGAAAGGAGAACCGACTCAAGGGGAAGAACTTATTATGTAGATCACAACACAAGAACTACAACATGGCAACGGCCGACTGCAGAAACAGTTAGAAACTATGAAAACTGGCAAATGCAGCATCGAGCTCTCATTAACACAGAGCGTCAGAACTTCCAACAGAGATTTCTTATCCCAGTTAGTAGTGGTATTGTGGTTAAAATGGACTTAGATTGCTGACGCAATTTTTTTTTTTTTGTATCGTTGTTGTTGTTGTTGACATACTGCTTTGTTATTTTCAATGAAACAAAGTTTTCTTGGCCATTTTTTTATATTATTATAGCTAATACAAGGTGAACTTCTGTTCTCTGTGGCATCCATGAACTTGCCATTCCCAGCCGACAAGCTTTCTTAAATTGGTTGGGTAAAAAGGCAATATTTCTGACGTCAGAGGGTGATGGTGCAATGTTACATGTACCTACCAATGTTGACTGCTTCCTGTGATCTGCTTTCATAAAATTGTACTTCTTGAAGTTTTCTTCTAGGGCTATTAGTAGTGGTAACAGGATTGAGTGGAGTCCAATTCAGTTTGTAGTCATACTCATGATTAACAAAATGGGATGGATGACAGTGTAGCGGGAGTCCGATTAGTTTAATCATGAGTGTGATTACAGACTAAATTGGACAACGCGAAGTTCTGTCACCAATTAATCATAACTTTAACAAAATTTGTGATATACAAGGCTCTTTTTTAAAATCAAAACACAAGAAATTTTGCCAAGATTTGTTTTTTTGCTGGCTGTGAAAAAAGCCATTTAAGCACGTGTGTTATAGCGCGTCCTGTCTAATTACTTAGGCATGATAAGTACTGTCCCATTAAACTGTCCTATTAAGGCTGAAGTCAGGGCAGTTGATAACCCATCAGATTTGAGAATTTGTTATAGTTATGATTATATAGCAAATCACGTAATGAGAAACTAGTTAATTTTGTTTCCTGGAGAATCTTAGTGTTTCCCTCAGCCCCAGGAAACTCTGAGATTCTTGGAGAACAAAATTAACTGTTTCTGTTGGGACTAGTTGTTAAATTGCCACTAATTGAAACAAAACTGAGTTTTGCACAGAGAAATGCAAAAAAAACAAGATTAAATACTGTCAGATCAAACTAGCATACAGAGGAACGTTAAAGACAAAACAATGTTGTATAAACAATCTGATGCAAAAAGGTTAAGATAAGGAAAGCAAGGGGGGTTCAAGCAAGCAAATCACAACTAAACAAACTTCTAGTCCTCCAGAAACGTGCTCTTCGCTTTATCCACTTTGCTAAACCACTTGATCATGCCATTCCTCTCTTTATCAATACAAAGATATTACCAATTAACTTTGTCTATTATCAGCTACTAGCAGAAACAATGTCTGACGTGAGCAACAACTTAGTACCTACAAACATTCAGGAATTGTTCCTTCCACTTTCTGGTGTACATTCATACAGCACTAGGTCGTCAACATCTCAAAACTTTTATATAAAAAAATCGAATCTTGAAATCCAAAAAAAAATTTTTTTTCGTGACTTGGTGCAAATTTATTGAATGAGATACCGACCAAGTTGCGCACACTTTCAAAACACAAATTCAAATTTAATATTCATGCATCATTGCTTGATATATTAGAGACTGGGGATACTTATTATGAAATAGATGAAATTATTCATAAAATGAAGAAAGCAGAACCAATTTTTTTGTAATCCTACCTATAAAAACAGTGAGCTAATGTTTTGTTTTCCTTTCATCCTTAGAGTTTTAAATGCATCTTTTACATATGTTTTTCTTTGTCAGATTGTAATTTTTGCAATTAGTTAATTGCTCCATATTTTTTTTGAAAACTGATGAATCTCTCTTGCTTTCTACTTTTTTTTTCTTTACCTTAATTTAATTGCAGTTATTTTCTTTTCGTATCATTCCTAGCCTGCCTAGACTAGCTACAGCTATTTGCGGTGCCAGGACACTTGTAAAAATATTCTCTAGAAAATTTATAATAAAGTCTTGGAGTCTTGAAGTCTTGGAAAGAAAAAGAAATAGTCCCATACCATTCAGCTAAAAATTTAGAGTAAGGTTGTGTCTCTTTGCTTAAGTGGTAAATTTCATGTTACAATGTTTCAAATTTTGGCAAGAATATTTCTACTTCATATTTTGAGTTGTTACAGTATACATTTCAGTTTCTTGTGGCAGGTTAGGGTTAGCCTTGTTTGGATCATTATTTATCAAGAACACTGGTTTTTTTTATTAATAAAACATTTTTTTAGTAATGTATTATTTTGTGATTCATATTTGTGAAGTAAGATTGCGTTGCTTTAGCAGAATGCTGGTGCACCAGCAGAGGCAGATCCCCTTGGACCTCTACCAGCTGGCTGGGGTAAGTACTCTTTTTGCCTATGATAATATTGTGTTGTGTCAGAAAATATCCATACCACCCCCGTGGAAGGGATTTACCCCATGTCTTCCCTCTGGATCTTATAAAAGCGGCCCAAAAGTGTACGAATTTTGGAATTTCCAAAATTTTGGCATACCGCCTTGAAATATTCCCATTTGTAAAAGCAGTGCTTTTACAAAGATGCCAGATTTGTTGTATTTTCTGTAAGCACATACAACAGATCAGCAATATAGTAATTCCTAGTGTGACAAGGTGAACAAATTGTTCAAATCAAAACAAGTCTCGGTAATGCTCTGAATTGTGAGTCTCCAATTTCATTTTGGTTTTGTCATGCAAATTGTGCAAAGTTTGGGCTTGCATATTTGATGATGGAAAAGATTCATGATACAGATAACTTCTTGAGATTAAAAAAAATTCAAGTGCAGAGAAGAGGTAACTACCCGGTAATAGAATTAATATTTTTTTAGAGAAGATCAGACATGGCAGACTTCATTCACATGCCAGGCAACAAAAAATGCTTGTGGGAATCATAGCCTCAGAAAACAGCTGACATTTGGTGACTCTACCACTCAGTAGTTTCCCCGTCAAATGACGTCTGAGAAACGAATCCAGGAATTCCATACTGATGACACGCCACTACCCAGATCTCGGTAGTGCTTCTGATTGGTCGTGCCGCGTGGGAAATTTGATTCAACCAATCAGAGGCACTACCCAGAGCTGGGTAGTGACGCGTCATCAGTATGGAATTTCTGCGCTAATTTCTCAGACATCGTTTGGCAGGGAAACCAGTGGTAGAGTCGCCAAATGTCGGCTGTTTTCTCAGGCTACGGAAATCAACGTTCATTTCCAACCAAAAACTAAACGTGTTATCTTTCAACTCAATTCTATAGTATTAAAAGCAGAAATAAAAATATTATAGACAAGCCTAAGGGAAAATATCAGTTCCAAAAGATTAAAATTCAGCTTTTATTTGGGTTATTCCCAGCGGATCAAATTTCGACACAAATTTGCTTGACACTGTCTATCAGAAGTTCACAAACCAAATCAAAAAACATAGGCACGTTAAACGTGCATGGGCTATTTTGAATGCTTCAGTGTAACTTCAATGCTTCGTTGTAACCTTACCAAGAGTGATGAATCTACCTTTTTCATCCTTAATGTAGATTGGGTTTTTGTGCGAAATTGGGTATTGCGGTACATAAATGAAAATGCGAAACACTCAGCTGAGTTGATCCTCAAGCTATATATTCACTTTCCTCTGTCTTTCCCTGTTACATCTGGTGCAAGTTAAACAAATTGTTAACGTAAAATAAATTTCTACTCACCAAACGTTGATTAGAAGGAAAACTCTAAGGTTTCCTCAGAGTTTTTTTAAGCCAAATTGTGACTCATCAAATACTGAATACAACTCCGACAACTTATTTCTTCATGTTTTAAAAGCTATTGCTTCTTAAAAGGCAAGAGCCTTTTTTAAGGCATTGGTTACAAAACGAAACAGGTCTTCATATGTCCAAGTTACCATTTATCATTGTGAAAAGCCAATCTGCATGAGATGTACTGTCACACAGCTGGCATGTGAAAGTGTTAGACTTTGCCCCCCTTCGTGGTTCGTACATGTGGGAATTCGAGTTATCACACAGTAAACTAGTAAACAGAATTATAGAAATAACTCATGCACACAATTTGCATGCGAAGATGTTGGTCTTTGGCCCCTTTACAATTCGTACGTAAAAAAAAAAGCAAATTGTTTCCTACAAAATTTTCTCAAACGATTTTAAGAAATCACCTCGGCTTCATTACAACATCTGCAATTAAATTATGTTTCATACAACGTCAAGGTTGATAACCTAACATTTATTAACATTTGTGAAACAGTCTTTAACTCCGACAACTTATTTGTTCATGTTTTAAAAGCTACTGCTTCTTGAAAGGCAAGAGCCTTTTTTAAGGCATTGGTTACTAAACAAAACAGGTCTTCATACGTCCAAGTTGCTATTATTACTGTGAAAAGCCAATCAGCATGAGATGTACTGTCACACAGCGGGCACATGAAAGTGTTGGACTTTGCCCCCTTTCGTGGTTCGTACGTGAGGGAATTCGAATTATCACACAGTAATCTAGTAAACAGAATTATATGAATAACTCATGGACACCATTTGTATGTGAAGATGTTGGTCTTTGGCGCTTTTACAATTCGTACGTAAAAAAAAGGTAAATTGTTTTTCTACAAAATTGTCTCAAACGATTTTAAGAAATCACCTCGGCTTTATTACAACATCTGCAACATTTCATGCAACGTCAAGGTTGATAGCCTAACATTTATTAACTTCCAAGAAAATTATCAAACTGCCGAAATATATTTCTACTTATATCATGTTACTCCACTCAATACAACAGTATCTAATTATTGTGTCAGCTAGCTTGTTCCAATTTTATTCCCTAACGCTACTGATTCTACTTAAGTTACGCATCTTTACTAAATAATATACGTTTTAGTAACTATAATACTTAGTATGCAGGAAGATGCAGGAAGGATGTATCATGTTGTTCACTTATTATTCTTTTTTTTGTTTGTTTTGCCAGAACGAAAAAGGTCTGTTGAACTTTGTAAGCGAGAGAATAATATTTTTAAAGCTTGTTTCAGGATTAACAATACTCAGTACAGCTTTCAAAAAAATAAGCTGCCTTTTAAACTTCTAAAACCACATTTGGAATTAAAGTCTATATCTAAATATCAATTGTTGCTTCATTGGAAGAGCTTTGAAAATATATGATCTTTTATACTCTACCCAGTTGTAGCAGGTGAAACAGAACTCATACTGACATGCGTTGCACCGATAGCCGAATTAGGTCAGAAATGCCTTGAAGCAGCATCCACACTAAAATATGAACCCTTAAACAGCTGCATCACTGTACACAGCGTTTGAATCATGAAGATATTGAATGTAATTCTTCCAAAGACCTGTAGCCGTAATAAAAGACGAAAAAATTGTGAAGGATCAAGATGGCGGTCTCAAAGTGCCCTTGTTCGACCTTTACCAATGCCATATTTAAATGGATGCCAAGATCTCATTGGTTCCTAAGCATCAACTCATAGTACCTTCAACCTTATTGGCTCTTGCAACAAACATCCCAACATACAAAGCCACAAAGATACATATGCTTACACCACTGACATATGAGCTATTTTTTCAAAATAGCTCAATAAATGCCCAGAAGGTGAATTTCGGAAATGACCTTGTACAATTAACTTAAATGTTCACTTAACCCACTCATTTATTTAACCTTGGAATTCCAAAAGTAGGATAACCAGCAAAACGTTCAGGGTCATTTCACCTGCCTGAAATTACCTGTTTCACACTTACCTTTCCTCCGTCTTTTTACTGAGCTGCTTCACCATAGACATCCATGTAACTGGAAACAAGAAGAGTTGATCTAAATTGACTTACAACCATTGATTCACTTTGACAAACCGTTAAAACCAACTGTTGGTACCAAAAGTAATTTCATATTGCACATTTGAAGTTCAGGTTTTTGAAAGTTAGAATGTTGGTACTATGTTGATAGGCAAAGAACAGCTTTTGGTTAACCCTCTGTTTTCTAATGTTTCACAGATTTTGGTTAGCATACTCGTTCCAAGATAAAGTCACAATGTTGTCTTGGTCAATATTTGTGTTGTTTCGCTGCAATCTCATTCCCAGGTTCTCTCTTCTACCTGTCAAGAGACCCTGGTTGGGTCTGGCCATGTGTCTCCCAGAATCTGGGAGATTACAAACAAAAGATTTTTTTGGAGGGGCAGATAAGTGTGAGGTTTTTCTCTGCAGGGCATAGACTGGTCAGTGGAAAGTGCAGCCATGAAACTGTGTACCTGACCTGACCTCAAATGCCGAAAGTAATTCTAAAATTCTTTCACAGCAAAATCATATCTTCCTGCAGAATATCTGGATGTTAATCAGATGTTAATCTTTTGGGGACGTTTTCATTTGGTACATGCAGAGGGAATTGAGGATTCACAGCTTGTGCAGTAAAAAATAATTTAGGTAGTAGTATTCATACCGAAATGCACTAGATTGGAATTGCCATTTCTATGTTGTGGAGGCCACATGTATGTGTTTTCAAGACTATGATTATGCAGTTTGAAAGGGTGCCAATAAGGTGTATCAAAAATAGATTTTAAAAACGGGTTGAAGCAACAGGAAGCTAAGAGAGATTACTCCATCCAGACACAGGTTGATTGTTCAAATGAAGAGGTAAACAGAATCTCGAAAGAGTTCATTTTTAGCTATGGTTATGCCTCTTTCAGTTTTTTTGTCATCCTTTAAAATCAGCAGGATAGCCGTGAGCGTCTTTGTTAAAAATCATGGCGTGCACGACTGACAACCGTTTATTGTTCCTTACCGGTATTTAATTTTCCTGAGGTTCTGGTATGCTGTAGAGGATTTTCAGAAATCACCAAGCCACGTGTGTTTTTTAATTAAGTCTTCATATGGACCATATATAAGAAAGCCTTTCACTTGGAAGGTTATGTTGTTCGTTTTTTCTTAATTTGTCTCTGTTTATACTATTTCATGTTGTCTTCTGTGTGTGTTGTGGTCATCCATCAGTTTGCATTTTTATGCACGTACTACTGGTATATAATTTTTTATCTCTTTTTACCTCTAAAAGCGATACGTTTTTTATTGCCTCATCATAAAGAAGGTTAGGGGATAGAGAAAGCCGACATTTCAGACCATAGCTTCCATAAAGTCACTAGATCTAAAATATTATTTTGACCCTGAATGAAAAAATGAATTCCCTGCTCTCAATGTAACTGCTATGTTTTGTCACTAAGTCACTAAGACCACCAATGGTGTAGGTTTTGCATAACTTTCAACTCGACATCAACATACAGGGATTTCCCTTCAAGAAATTAACATGCTTGTGTAGAACTTTAGCGATTGGTTTCATCAGTGAAACTGTGACAATGCGAGTTTTTTATTCCTTCTCTGGTTATTCACTTGTTTATCTAGTTTATCCAGTAGGGTTAGCAACTCTATATTACTCTTGCGATCATTGCGCAAACGGTGAAAATGAGCCAACCAAAAAATTGAGAGACAAAGAAATCTTCCCTCAGAATTAATTTTGTCCTGGAGTCGCGTGACCAGTTCCAACCAGGATCTGTCTCTCTCTGTCTCTCTCTCTCTCTTGCTCTATAGGGACAGGTAGGAGAGAACCCTGGGAATGAAGTTTGTTTTGTTGTTAATTTTTTACATATCATGAACATCTCTGGAAATGATATATCTTTTTAGTACACCTCCTCCCCCATGGAAATTTGACCTCTTCCTTGGGGGTGGTGTGGATATTTTCTAGATGTATGCATTGTGACCACCAAGTCACTAACATCTCATCACATGGCAGCTCTTTCCTGCTCACACTTATTTGTTATCAATTCAACCAACCAACAAAAAGTTCAGTTCAACGTTGCTTGTCATGTAGGCAATTCCCTTGACTGTCAGCTAAAGCAATTGAATTAATGTTTCTGTAGAAAAAAGAGTGGAAGCCAATGGAAGAGTTTACTTTGTCAATCATAACACACGTGCTACCCAATGGGAAGATCCTCGCACTCAAGTGTAAGTATTGGTACAAAGATGACATCCCAGACAGTGCTCCAAAGTAAAGTGTTAGGTGTGGTCACACACATCAAGACATATGCAATTGCCCCTAACCCCCCACCCTCCCCCCCCGCTGCCAAACATACACACACACACATTAAAAAATGTTGTAGTAACACGTTCTTTTAGTTTACCGTGATAACATGTGGTTGGACACGAGTTAATAATAAATAAAAAAAGGTTTGGTCAATATGAATGCTAAGTGGAAAAATCAGGACAAAAATTACTTTGCTAGAAAATGGCAACATAGGAGTATTAATGCATATTTTTTAAAAACTTTTTGCTAAATTCATCTAAATTTTCACAATTTATTATTTTTTTTCACAATTTATTTCCATAATTTAATGTGCTCATTTGTTTGTTAGCATGGTTGGCTCAGACTCACCTCTTCCCAGTGGCTGGGAGATGAGATACACAAATGAAGGCATTCCTTACTTTGTGGATCATAACACTCGAACAACTACTTTCAGTGATCCAAGAACAGGAATTGCTCTTGGGTAAGTAATTGGTCTTTGTTTGTTTGTTTGTTTGTTTTTTTTTAAGTACTTTATTAAGAAATAAAACTCTTGCACAGTAGTTTCTTTAGTTTTATGATTTAATGGAACTGTTGTACAAGTTTGATGGCAATTTGCCTTTTTTCTGTTTTTTTTTTTTGTATACCATGCAGCATGAAAGGTGCTGCTGGTGGTCCCGCTTATGAAAGAAGCTTCAGATGGAAAATTGGACAGTTCAGACATCTATGCCAGGTATTTGTATTCTTTCGAACTATAGAGTTACTGTGATCCCTCTATTCCCACACCAAGTCCAGTTTTGTGTGCATTTTTATGTTGATGAAGTTTATTACAAATTTTTGTGATCAAACCACCTTGCAAAGAAAGTAGTGTCTGGTAGCCCAGGGCTTTTGGGGTTTGCTACCAGGCTAGTGAAATCTGTTCTTAACTTGCCCAGCAAGTGCCCGGCAAGTGAATTTTTGTTGTTGTTGTTGTTGTGTTGTTGTTGTTTTTTTGGGGGGGGGAGATTCAAATGACAGAAGAGCTGTATTCAGTGATGTTGATCAAAAAATATAAAATATTTACATGCTAACCACAGCTTCCCTGAGTGGCAAGCTGTAAAACTGACTTTCTTTGCACCCCGGGGCTGATGTTAATGAAGTGTTGTGAACAGCTCCTAAAACATCCCCAGAGTTTTTCATTTGAATAGGATTGCTAAATAATGCATTTCCCTTTTTAAAACGTGTTGATTGAAAAATGACAAACCAAAGCTGGCAAAGTAAGAAATGTTGGGCAGAAATATTCATCCTAAATCAAACTGCAACACAACATAATGGGCATTGATAATTTTTCTGGAATTGCAATTTGGTAAGAATTTGACTGTGACTCATTTCGCTATGCCATTCTTGAAATGGTAACAGTTGTATGTCTTTAAGAAAACTTTGTATTTTATTTAAGAACAAGTTCTGGCTGGCTGACAGATTTTTTGTTTGTTCAAGGATGAACAAAAAAAATTAACAAAACTGTACCAAAGACTGTATTTTCCCTGGGACTGAATTCAAAGCCTTCTCCTGATTTTTCAGTTGGCCAAGTTTTACCGGGTGTAAAAGTCCTTACATATGATCAAATTCATAAAAGAAAAGGGGCAATATACTTTCTGAATATTAACAAGTTTTTGAAGTGTATACAACTAACTCATTATAATAAAGTTTTTTTAAAATTTCAGCCCTCTAATAGTTCTTAGTTCTGAACTGTCAACCCTTTCAACATGAGCGCCAAGTTGTGAGTTTGTGAGGTTATATATCCTCACAGATGACCGTTTTATGTTTGATAATAATAATTATTAACTGTGCTATTGTTTCCTTTCCAGTCCAATGCTCTTCCAAGCCATATAAAAATAACAGTCAACAGGACCAACATTTTTGAGGATTCTTTTCAGCAGGTTGGTGTTCAATCTCACCATGTAATGACAGGGAAATTAGGGCAGCTGGAAAGTGCAGCTGCTGTCACAATTGAAAATCGTATCTATTTCGCATGTCAACTTGCAATAAAATAAAAAATGATAATAATAATGATAAACCCAAGGCTGTCATTAAGCGGCGGAGCCGGGGTTTTCACCCAGCTACCATGAACGTGGCTCCCGGCTACTTTCATGTAAAAAAAATGGAAGAAAAATAGAACCAAAAGAAATCCTTAGTTGCTTTATTCCCCGCCCATTTGTTGTATTTACCCGGCAATTTGAAATCTTAGTGACATCTCTGCAAACCAGCATTAGTGTCCTTACTGAGGACCTTATGCTGTTAGTGCGTAAAGTATTTTACTAAGAGAGACCACATACAATAATGAATTAAAGTACGCAGATGGGATATATCTGTGGAAACATTTTGTTTAAAATTTCAAATATAACCTTTATACTTTATTTACTCTTAGCAATATTTTTCTTGACTTGTTGACAGTGATCAACCTAGATTTGCATAATGCATTTTTCAGGTTTCTGTAATGTTTACTCTAATTGTCTTTAATATCCTATCGCTGTTTTTCATATGTACAAGCTATTGGGATTATTTTTGGCGGCTTTTAAAAAAACAGTTTCAGCAATAGAAGTTACTTATTTATTGCCCTTTTTCTCAATAATTTGTAGAAAGTATAATTCAAGTTTTAGTTGGCTTTCCTAGAAAATATTATTTAAAACTATTGGCATCATTTTTTCCTATCTTACTATTAGTTATCATAGAATGTATATTTAAGATGTTTCTCAAAAATGGATGTAAGTTAAGGTGATTGCCTTTTGTTGTCTGACAAGACTGAAGGTGACAATAATTTTGTTTAAAAATTTTAGGGAATGCAGACTTGAGAAAAACTCACACACATTAAACTAACCACCACTTTGGTGGCCCAAGGTGAACTGCTACTGAACACTGATTGTTCTGCTTTTGTTTTCGTTACCAGGTCATGAGATATGCTCCACATGACCTGCGTCGTAGGCTTTATATTATCTTTAAAGGAGAGGAAGGCTTGGACTACGGTGGTGTTGCAAGGTAAGCTTTGCTTTGTTTGCACAAGGGTGTGATAGGAATGGAAAATTGCAGTGGATAACCAGTTTTGGTTGTAAACTCAACAGTAGGTGTTGTAATTTTTTTTCTTTCAGAGAGTGGTTCTTTCTCCTTTCTCACGAAGTGCTCAATCCAATGTACTGCTTGTTTGAATATGCCAACAAGAGTAATTACAGTCTTCAAATCAATCCAGGTATGTATGCCTGAATAAGGAACTTTGATTTTAGTGTTGTGTAAACAAGAATAGTTAACTACCTGTAATACTACTGTACATGTACATTGGTAAAGAATATTTTTTCCTATTGACTTTCTCATGCTGTCCAGAGCATGGCTATGAAATCTTGAAAACACTTAACAAAAGCTGCCTGGTTAGAACAAGCAAGTCATAGCATCCTAGTTGTTATTATGTTGAACTGTTGCCTTGTTATTGTTGCCAGCTTACAGTGTGTGATAGAAAGTAACTGCCACTGATACAACCTATAAGTATGACCCCGGAGTAGTCAATCGATAAAAATCGGTATTGATTTATCAATCAAAAAATCAATAAAATCGGTAAATCTGATATGATTGATATAGATGGTATCGATCAATCAGTAGAAATCGATGACACACTCGTTTCGTTCATCGATTTATCTTGATTTTTACCAATTTCTTCCATTTATATCGGAAAATACATCAGTTCATCTGTTCATCAAAAAATGAAAACTGAATTCATGCAAACAGTAAATTTGTTGACAACTAAGTTGCAATTGAGAGTCGAAACAATTACCCTCACTTTTTTAAAGAAATAATCTTTAGAAAAATTCTTATCTTTTCTTTAAAACCAGGTTTAAAATCGTCTTCTGATGGCTGATATTGGCCAGGTTTAAAGGCGCCCAGTTTTTCACAATTTAGACTTGTCTTTTTTTCAAAATAACGTCGGTGTAGTTCCGGGTGTAGTTACATCCCAGACTAGCTAATAGATAACAATCGAAGTCGATGGAAATCGTTAGCAATCAAGTAATTTTTATCGATTGTTAACGGAAAAGTTTAAAAGCCACCTTCACAAATGTGTTTTTTCGCTGCCCGTCGATCATAATTACGATCACAAGCAACGAACCTTGAAACAGTGAAACACAAAACGGATCGAAATCCACAAATCACAAACCATGACCTTTTGAACCCGTGAAGTAAAGTTTATTTCCTAAGAGGTCCGTTAAAGTGGCTTGACTGGATTTTTTGGGGTTGATACCTCCCAACTTTGAGCATTAACTACATCGGCATGAGTAAAGATATGGAAAAAATGTTACCACAACTGTATTATATAAAGATGAAAAGTTCTTATGATCTGGGTGTTATTGCAATCGGAGTCGCCATGGCAACGTAATGACGCCATTACGTTTTTCATTTATCTTTGTGTTTCTCTGTTCCAGGAGTTTTTTGAAGAAATCGCTTTAGGGAGTATGTACCTGCTATAATTGCCTCCATTATGGCATAGTTTGAACAAATTCTATGAGAGCGTTTTCGAAATATTTTGAAATGTAGTTTTAAGAATAATAAAAACAGTAAAATAACATGCTACCTACACAATTCGCTAATATTTTAAGAAAATGATGAGCTTTGGGAACGAGGCTTCATCTCGTAGTGGTTTGATTCCATTGAAAACTGCATACAAAAAAAGAGGGGAATTGCTTTGGGCGATCGCGAGTAAGAAGAATTTTATTAACTTGCATTCAGCTGCTTTTGATACAGTTTTTGGACGTAATTTGGTCCATGCCAATAACCGCTCGATAAATTTTTTTATAAATTCGACAATCCTGAGATCAATTGTCAAGAAATATTCCCTGCAAGTTTCAAGAACATTGAAAATAGGGAAGGCTTTTAAATAGGGCCTCAAATATAACCAATTTTCGCCCCAGATTTTGTGTTTACAAGTGAGCGTCCTCATTATTCACTGGCATTGTTTTCAAGTTTCATATGCACGTGCACAACTAGCAAAAGTTATAAATTTGCATCAAAAAGAACTCTCGATTACTTTCCGAAGAAATATCTGGAGTATGCTAATAATTGGCTTGTCTTCACAGACAGTAGTGAGAGCCGAAAAGGTGAACGTCACGGCTCATCGTGTAGGATGGAATAATTAATTATCTTACTCGGGTTATAACATCACAGAACTCTCACAAAGCGTCGCTCTGATGTTATAATATATCATTAATCTCTTTACTCGGTAATTAGCGTATCCCGGAGATTTAACCGAGGGTCCTTTTTGATGCAAATTCTATCTTTTTGCTAAATGTGCACGTGTATATGAAACTTGAAAACAATGCCAGTGAATAATGAGGACGCTCACTTGTAAACACAAAATCTGGGGCGAAAATTGGCTATATTTGAGGCCCTATTTAAAAGCCTTCCCTGTTTTCAATGTTCTTAAAACTTGCAGGGAATATTCCTTGACAATTGATCTCAGGATTGTCGAATTTATAAAAAAATTTATCGAGCCGTTTTTGGAAAAATGCGAAATTTTTAGGCATGGACCAAATTACGTCCAAAAACTGTATCAAAAGCAGCTAAATGCAAGTTAATAAAATTCTTCTTACTCGCGATCGCCCAGAGCAATTCCCCTCTTTTTTCGTATACAGTTTTCAATGGAATCAAACCGCTATGAGATGAAGCCTCGTTCCCAAAGCTTATCATTTTCTTAAAATATTAGCGAATTGTGTAGGTAGCATGCTATTTTACTGTTTTTATTATTCTTAAAACTACATTTCAAAATATTTCGAAAACGCTCTCATAGAATTTGTTCAAACTTTGCCATAATGGAGGCAATTATAGCAGGTACATACTCCTTAAAGCGATTTCTTTAAAAAACTCCTGGAACAGAGAAACACAAAGATAAATGAAAAACGTAATGGCGTCATTACGTTGCCATGGCGACTCCGATTGCAATAAAACCCAGATCATAAGAACTTTTCATCTTTATATAATACAGTTGTGGTAACATTTTTTCTATATCTTTACTCATGCCGACGTAGTTAATGCTCAAAGTTGGGAGGTATCAACCCGAAAAAATCCAGTCGAGCCACCTTAAGATGATTGACAGCAGTGAAAAACGCAATCCAATCATCGGTTGGCTTCTGAACTTCAGAATTCGCATATTTGTGAAAAGTGCAGTAAATAGACGATCCTAATTTGCGGTCTACAGTTTCCATGAAAACGCACTATTTTTTCCACAAGATAAAAAATATTCAGTTTTAAGATTTTCGTCTTGGTATGTTTTCTCTAACTTAAAGGAATAAAATCCTTTGCATTTTGTGACCTAAAAAAGTTTAAAGATTTCCCGCTCGCATGTTGCGTTCATCAGCACGCACTTCAAACAAGTTTTTTTCAGTATACATTCCATAAAATGGTGGAAGAAATATCAAGAAACATCACGAGAGCTGAAAATTTTCAAAGGCATGTTTCTGAAACTCGCTAATGCTGACATCAATATAGCGTGCTTGCTGAATGGGCGAAAACACAGAATTGTGATCACAAGATCATGTACAAATTTAGTGATAAAAGCTTAGCAAGATACAGATACAAACAAAAGCAAACCCCCTGAAACCTCGACGTGGGCTACACTTGTATGCTCTACTCAGTCACCAAACCTTGTCAGTAATAGCTCCTATTTTCCTCAAGTCGCTCTTTGTGAAGCTCCCGGATGTGATGTCCCGGTGAAGCTTTGAACTTGTGTGCCAAATTCTCAGAGTTCTTATTTTTGTCCGTGCCTTCTTTATCCTCAGTATCCGAAATTTAGACCTCCAAAGTGGCGTGTGTTGCGTTAAATAGAAGGAACTATTTAAAGGAAAAGCCAGTTTTCTAACATGGCAAAGTTTTCACGTATTCATCTGCCATTCATCGGCAACTGAGTTGTTCGCTTCGCTGACTACGACAGCTTACAATCAAGTCTTCAGCCATAGTGTCGTCAACTGGTGAAATACTTTGCTCATAAATTGTGCTTATCAATTGCTCATGTACTACATCGATCGACAATTCTCTCTTTGAGTTCACGAAGCGGCCCCGGCGTTCCAAACCTGACGCTCACAGTCATCTTTTAGTGTGAACCTACCGTGAACGGCGTGTCGGTTTGTATGCGACGTGAGCATTTCTCTGAGTTTCCCAGCGCCAACATCATCAACTGACTTAAACTCGAACAATCAAAAAATTATAAAGTGACTCCTATGATCGAATCGCTTCGAACAACACAAATAGCCTTCTTCAGGTTCGCAACGCCTTCTGGGTTTCTGGGGGGCGGAGACGAGGTACAAAAAGTATCCGTGAAAGGGTTCGTGCAAGGGAAAATTCTATGAAACCATTTGTGAGAACATCGTTTCTAGGTACCAGACACTAGTGTCTTCCCTCCCCCGGGAGGCCGTTTTTCTGCACCAACGACTGAAAACCGAATTTATGACTGGGCCGCACAGGCAGCCCAGTAAATAGTTAAATAATGAAAAATGGATAAAATTGATTTTACACAGCAATTTAGTTTATCGATTTTCACCGATTTCCGTTATCAATCGATGAAAATCACTTGATTGCTACTAATTTTTATCGATACCGATTTTTATAGATTGACTACTCCGTTTTTCTATGTGACCCGAGTCTTACACAAAGCTGCATAATTGGCCTGCACTGTCCGCTCCTCCTCTCCTCTCCTATTTCATTATTATTCATGCAGGGGAGGTCATAATGGTTGATGATAACATGACTGTTTGCCCCAAACTATTATAAGCTATAGAGTGACTGGCCTTAACTATCACGCCCTTTGAATGCATTCATTAAATCCTGTTTGGCCGCTTTCATGAATGTCGAAGGTGTTGGTTTTTTCGGTCAGCTGTTTAGTTGCAAAGTCAAAGCAGTATGCGTCAATTTTGCACATGGGTATAATTCATTTTTATGGAAGACTTTGTCAAGGGTTTTACTCAGATATGGACAAATGTACAAAGTAAGGCTTTATAATCCGTGTTTTGACGGAAAATCCTCTTTCTGTGCACACAGTAGCCTGTGCAAAGCCATCCCTCCCGGCTATACACAAGCTACTGTGTGCACGAAAAGAGGATTTTCAGTCTATACACAGATTGTAAAGCAAAATATTCGAGACTAAATGTATGAGGACTGGTTCCGAATATCATGAACCATTTAGCCACAAGCCAAAACTGTGTGTTTCATGATAGACAAAGTTGACGATTGTTGATACTTAAAGAGTGGTTGCCAGAGAAAACCGGGCAAAATGTTTAAAATGTCAACGGAAGGGGGTCAACGGAATAAGTTCATGCTAACATCATAGATAGGTCTGGTGGAGTGATGGACAAATATAATAAACATAGGTTCCTCACTACTCTTGTATTATCACTTTATTCGACCCCCTGGGACGCCAATTTTATAAGCAAATTTTCACCATTTTCTGAAACTCATAGAACCCTCAAAATTTAACGAGTGAAGTTTAGTTTTTGTATGCAATACAACACATCACAGAACTACTTTCTAAAACCATAAGATTTGTTAAGTGGCCACGAACAAGACTAAAAATTTCTTATTTCATGTGACTTAAACTCAGTGTCTGCAAACGAGCAAAAAATTCGGGCATTTTTGAATTGATCTACAGCGCACAACTAAAACGACAGCACAACTCTGATAGCCAAATTACAGTCTACTATTATCCATGTAAGCAAAACACTAATAATCATTTTGGGCCATTGAAACAAGAAGAAATTAGAAAACTCACATTTGTAATAGTTTCCAAGCTTTTTCTTGCAAACAGGCCGATCCCTTCGTGTTTGTTTTAAGTCCTCTTCGTGAATTTTCTTTCATATTTCGCTGTAAAGTAAGTTCACAAGCTGGAGGATATGTCAAAAAGCTCGAAATACTGCCTAGGTTACATTTTGAAATTGTAAAAAGTGCTGAACGATAGGATGAAACTAGAAAATAACGAAGCCACGCTATCTTGAAAATTCAGCACTCAGAAGGGACTGGTACTAGTAGCTGCGTTGTGATGAATTACCAAATAGATAAACAACAAAAGCAAACAAATCGACTTATGAGTAAATCTACTACAGTCTTATTTCTTCTTCAATCACTACTTTTGCTTAAATTTAGCTTGTTTTGTGTTGTCGTTTTTCTTTTTTTGGCGTTACTTTATTCAGTGTTCATTTGCTCTTTATTCAAGTCTTAGCGTTTCTTTGGACTCTTTATTGTATCAGCTATTATTGCGTCAGTGTTCAATCACCGTCCACATCCGAAGGTCCACTGATCTCTTGTTCATGATTGTATGATGTACTTTTCATAGTCCGGAAGGCTTCGCCCAAAGGGTACCTCTTTCAGGCATCAGGTGTAACAAAGGGTAGGAAAATCACAAGTTGAAGTATGTGAAAGGAGAGGAAAATCTTTCATTAAATATTTTAAAGGGCCTTTTATTAAAATGCTTCGAAGAAACACGCCTTACGGCAATATCATTTACAGTTAAAGGTTACACGGAAATTGCCGGAAGACCTCCTTTCTTACCGATTTATTCTCACGAAGGAGATATATGAAGAGGGTACAACTTTTCTATGGAAGATGCACGAAAGGGTTACCTTTTGTCAAAAAATATATATATATATATATAAGGGTAAGGGACTGGACCTCGGGGCGAAGTCTCTCCGAACAAAACTTTATTGAGTAGTCTCCCACCCCACTCCCCTTCTCCCTAGGGCTTTCCACAAGTTGCTCGGCAACTTTTTGGCAACTTCTAGTATTTCGAGCAAATTTTTTCGTTTGAAGGAACTTTTTGCATAATTTCTCAGCAATTTCCGGCTTACTGGTTTTTTTTCCAATTCTGAGATATCTAAACAGCTTTTAGTGCTTAAATTGGCCTTGCTTCCATATTGCACAGTGTTTTAGTAGACAATTTATGAATTTCCTATAAAAAAAGAGCCAGATCCTCTTCCCTTGGGGGCAGATGATGTGCGCAAGATGCAGCCGGGCTGCCAGGTCAGAGGTTTTTTTGAACAAAATGGTGGACTTCGATTCACACTTGACTGACACGAGTGTCTGAGGTGAAGAAGGTCATTCAACAATATTTTAATGGCTCATACTAGAATGTTTACAAGATTAATATTAATATTGACGTGTAGTCTTTACTCATACATTTTTTGGGTTTTAATTGTGGTTTACGGGCTCCTGATGGCGGGCAGAGTTATCTAGCAACGCTAATTACGCTGCGAAATTGCACAAAATTACGTTTTTATATTCTACCAGGAGCCATAGATATCTAAATCGGGTTAGTAGACCGTAACTGGATACCTTTTCCAGGGATGGGGTTGACTTCATCGAAATATATATCATAGCCATTAAATGTGCTATTTTTAGCACATTTTGTGCCATCTCGTGTGACTCGCGCGCGTATTTTTTGCAGCAGCGCCGTGAAAAGGATTAACAAACGAAATGGCGTTGGAAATTACCTCCGTTGGAGATGAATAAGTTCCATTTCTGTCCCTGATTGCCTCCTCTGAATTTAATTAATTTAACACTACTGATTACCCCTTTAACAAATTTTTGAACGGCCAAAAACTTGCACGGATCCGCCTTTTCTTTACATGCGACCCGCGGAACCGTGAAGTTTTTGAGCTGCAAACAGTACTGCAATCTGTAAGAGAATTTGCAGGTTCCCTCTAAACGTGGCGTTTATCTTGTGTGGACCGTACAAAGAGCATTCTGAAAAAGAAGTGAGCAGGAAAAACAATGAGGGGAAGGGGTACGGAGTGAGAGTCATAAGAACTCCTATAATGGTACCTTCGGATCCTTCCGGTATACCAGATTCTCTTAAACCTATGAATGGTCTATTTTGACAGCTCTTGTCAACATTCGAAGGTCTATTACCTCATGGAAATGCGAAGTGACAGCGACGAGATCATCAGTTAGAAGGCTTTTTAATACTTTCAAAAAAGCACTTCGTCCGCTGGCTCTCTTGGCCGCTTTGCGGCCTAAAATGCCCGCTCCGCACACTGATTCAATTGTACTATGTTTATTTTAATGAACAGTTGGTAATAGAAATTATTGCAAATTTTACAGCAAGCAATATCCTGACTGCCCGAAGTTAGACCGCACGCTTGGTTGATATATAGCAAGTCCAGCTAGCTCGCATGAGGGCGAAGTTAAGTGATTCATAAACAGACAAAATAGATCTTTAATATTATCTACATTCACGGGACACCTCGAAATGACGAGGGAATGAAGCAATGCCAGTTAATCACCAATTAACCTGCGATCAGGCGTTCTTCTTGTTTTTTACTTTGAAAGAAAAACAAGCTACATTCAACTAAAAGAAGTCATTGAAGAAGAAATAAGACTGGAGTAGGTCGCCGATAAGTGGCCTGTGTACAGACGTCCCCCTCCCTCAGAAAAATCGGGAGAGGAGACGTCTGTGAATCGCCGTCGTCTGTGAATCGTTAACCGTGTTCCGGTATACATTTGCATAAATTATTTTTTCGTTCTTTCGCTAACAGTTGAAAAGGCACATGTAGGTCGAAAAATAGCTCTGGCGTCTGTGCACAGGCTAGCCGAACATCTTCACGCAATGTCCACCCAAAAATCCAGATATAAGATCTCTGATTACAGTCAAGCCAGGTCAAGCGTACCTCCCAAGATCCCATTAATGTATTTATTACTCGAAAGTTGAACCGTTGGTAGTCGTAGATTTCAGATTCATCTCTGTGTGCATTCTTGCATGCATAATGAGCCGTGAATTTACGAAATTTCTACCAGCTCAGTTTCCCTGAATTTGATGTAAATGTCTTCTAAGACATTTAATTCATTCAAAGATTTTCAATCTGACTAAATGCAGAGAAGTTCTCTTAAAATATTCACTGCTTATTGCGCATACAGGAATGTCTATTTAAATTGGACACCAGTTACGGGAACGACTAACGGATCATTTTTTCAAATAATCAATTCATTAATAGAATCTTTTGGGGTAAGCTTGACCCGCTTTGGCTGTTAACGTTGGATTTTGTATGCCTTCTCTTTTATTTACAATACCGACCGGTACAGACAGACGTACCCACAACCGGTGCAGCAAACATCGGTGGTCTTAACTTCTCATGCTTTTTCGAGAGAGCCGAAATACAATACCTGTAAACAAAGTATGAATGTCCACAAAGGCTAAGCTTTTACCCCGGGAATCTATTCTGAGGTTCAGTCACCAACCACAACACCGGAAATTAATTGCATCATGGCATTAACATTACCACCAATCAGAGGCTGTCCCCAACATTCCGAGGAAACGGAAACACGATTATTGCCAGCGATTCACAGACGTCTCCTCTCCCGATTTTTCCTGAGGGAGGGCGGACGTCTGTACACAGGCTACTAATAAGCTGGTTTTTTTGTTTTTTGTTTTTTATTGCCAACGAGCCATCCGAGCGAAGACGCTCGGATGGTGAGGCGGCAGCAGAATAGAGCCGCGCAAGACTGGGCAATAGGCAGAAAAATCTCGATCGAGCTCAAAAAAGTGTAACCCGTAAATTTTTAACCCGTAACCTGATGTAATGTAGATTCCGCTGAGACCAAGTGGTCAGTTGTGGACCAATCAAAAGGCAGTACCTGGCGCACGGGCTCAAGTTGAATGTGGTAGCTTTTTAAAGTACAAAATTTCTCACAATTCGCGCCGTCGCGACTTCCTGGGTTTATTTACCTAAATTTATTCGTCAAACCTGGCCACTGCAGTCAAGAAACATGAGCACTTGGCATGATATATTCTATTTATTGTAGGGGCCATAATGTTAAGTTTTAACGAAGAGAAGTTTGTCAAACAGCAGAAGTGTTCTATGTGCAACAAGCAATATTCTCACCACTAAAAAGGATCAGATTACACGAGGAGATAACGAAAGATTGACACGAGGAATACAGTCGCTTCTGTTGGAAAATCTTGTGTTGGGGAAAAAGTCTAACCGGCAGACAAAAAATATGAGAACAAAAACGAATTAAAAGCCTAAAGCGAACGACAAAGGAAAAGAAAACAACGCCATTTTTTTTCAAAACCTGGCCGAGTTGAGAATAAAAAAAATGAACTAAAATACCGACGTGCCGTACACTGCACGTCCTAGGAAACAATTCAGATGGCCCAGCGAATCATTCTAAGTTTCAATCGGATAACAAAAAGCCTCGGGAAATTTGAAAGGAGGTTTTAAAATGATTAAACTGTGCAAATATTTATCTACAATGTGAAACCGAACCGACAGTAGATTTGTAGCTGGACTTAATAATATTCCCGATCGCTTCCTCTGCAAAGCAGATTTTATTCTTTCAAGACACTTCACACTTTACATAGCAGGTTTTGTAAAGCCACCAGACTGAATCTGAGAACTGACTCTCCTCCGGAACCTCATAAGTGTTACATGCATAACACCTTTTCAAGAAAATAATCCTTAGTAGTAAAATGACGTCATCATGCAAATGCCTAATGCGAGATGAAATTGCGAGACGATGGACTCGTGGAAAATTTGCAATTTTTGTCCGTATGTTAGATATCGAACGCAGCTACTAGTGCCAGTCCCTCCTGAGTGCTGAATTTTCAAGATGGTGTAGCTTTGTTATTTTCTAGTTTCATCCTATCGTTCAGCACTTTTTACAATTTCAAAATGTAACCTAGGCAGTATTTCGAGCCTTTTGATATGTCCTCCAGCTGCTGAACATAACTCTAAATGAAGTGAATAAAGAGCAAATGAACACTGAATAAAGTAACGCCAAAAAAAGAAAAACGACAACACAAAACAAAACAAGCTAAATTTAAGCAAAAGTAGTGATTGAAGAAGAAATAAGACTGTAGTAGATTTACTCATAAGTCGATTTGTTTGCTTTTGTTTTTTATCTATTTGGTAATTCATCACAAGGCAGCTACTAGTACCAGTCCCTTCTGAGTGCTGAATTTTCAAGATAGCGTAGCTTTGTTATTTTCTAGTTTCATCCTATCGTTCAGCACTTTTTACAATTTCAAAATGTAACCTAGGCAGTATTTCGAGCCTTTTGATATGTCCTCCAGCTGCTGAACATACTTTGCAGCGAAATAGGAAAGAAAATTCACGAAAAACAAACACGAAGGGATCAACCTGTTTGCAAGAAAAAGCTAGGAAACTATAACAAATGTGAGTTTTCTTATTTCTTCCTGTTTCAATGGCCAAAATGATTATTAGTGTTTTGGTTACATGGATAACAGTAGACTGTAATTTGGCTGTCAGAGTTGTTCTGTCGTTTTAGTTTTGCGCTGTAGATCAATTCAAAAATGCCCGATTTTTTGCTCGTTTGCAGACACTGAGTTTAGGTCAGATGAAATACGAAATTTTTAGTCTTGTCCGTGGCCACTTAACAAATCTTATGGTTTTAGAAAGCAGTTCTGTGATGTGTTGTATCGCATACAAAAAATAAACTTTACTCGTTAAATTTTGAGGGTTCTGTGAGTTTCACAAAATGGTGAAAATTTGCTTGTAAAAATGGCGTCCGAGGGGGTCGAATAAAGTGATGCTCGTATCTCTAATACATGAGCAGTGAAGAAGCTATGTTTGGTATATTTGTCCATTACTCCGCCAGACCTATCTATGATGTTAGTATGAACTTATTCTGTTGACCCCCTTCCGTTGACATTTTTAACATTTTGCGCGGTTTTCTCTGACAACCACTCTTAATCGAAGACATCATCAAATTTCATGACCGTTAGACCCTAGCTGGATTTAGGGATTGCAGGATATGTATCGGCTGACAACGTTGCACATGAATTTGGGAACTGAGAGCCTGTGGACAGTTGTGCTTAAAGTTATAGCTGTGTGTTAAGTTGTTTGTTCTTACCTTTTGTAGCATCATACGTGAATCCTGATCATTTACAGTATTTTAGATTCATTGGACGTTTAATAGCAATGGTAAGTGGATACTGGCTTGTGTTATTTCTATTGTTCAAGAACAAAAATAGAAATAATAAAACGTGTAATCTCCGAGTGAAGGTTATTGGAAGCCAAATAATTTAGGAACTGTACAGAAGCCCTTTGGGTTAGCCCACAACTGCATGTTTGCCTAATGTCCCAACCGATTAGGCGACTAAAATGTTCAGGTTCAGGGAAATAGATTTTTTACGAGAAACTGAAACATGATTGTTTGAACATTCTTAAATAGATATTTTGCTCTCTTATTTTTAGGCCCTGTATCATGGTAAATTCATTGACAGAGGTTTCACACTGCCTTTTTACAAGAGAATGTTAAGTAAAAAGCAAACAATGAAAGATCTGGAATCAATTGATCCTGAGTTTTATAACTCCCTGGTTTGGATAAAGTATGTATTTTTCAAAAACTGCTTATAATTTTTATACAGGTCTTGCTTTCCTTACTGTATTTACTGTAACTGGGGACAGAACGAAACGCTTTTTGATACAAAAGTTGTTGAGGAGAAGATGATGTTGCTTATGTTTTTTTCGGTGCCACTGTAGCCTTTTCAGCCTGTTGAATGACTTACATGTACAGATGAAGGATACCAATACTTTTCACACTTCGTATTTATTGAAAAACTCCTTTATATTGTTGAATACTGAATGCACTGTAATTCTCTATTGTTTTTGTCCTTATTCCGAACCTCTGTTTTCTATGTGAACATGGTGTTCTTTTGTATGTTTGCACTTGTAGTCTACTCCTACTTTTAAGCCAAAGTATCTTCCTTGGCCTGTTTGTTTCTTCCTCTTTTGGGTGTTAATTTTTTTTTGTAAGCAAATTAATAAATGCAGACACAAGAGGTGGCATCTTATAAAGGGGAGCCTGTTGACACCACAGACAAAAAGTAAGACTGTTTAACTTTTTTTTTGACAGAGATAACAATATAGAGGAATGTGGTTTAGACATGGAATTTGCTGTGGACATGGAGTTGTTGGGGAAAATAACCTCACATGAATTGAAACCTAATGGATCAAACATTAAGGTCACAGAAGAAAATAAAGAGGAGTACATATCGTATGTAGTATTTTTGATGTCTTTCGCAATCAAATGTGGAAAGTGGTTGTCATACTTACAGCGTCTAAAGACGGGGCCACTGCGGATTTAATTGCATTGTTGTTAACAAAAAAGCCAGTCTCTGGAATAATTTATCGATGACCAAGTTTTGAAAAAAATCGAGAACCGTAGTGGTGGATTAATTTAACAATTAATGAATGAGGCTGAATATCTTATGAAGAATCATGAGATCGAGGAGAGTGTTATCGGCCGAGGCGGATAACACCCTCCGAGATCTCCATAATTCTTCATATGATACGAAAGCCGAATTCACTAATTGTTTTATTATTCATTCAAAATAATTCCTAGTTTAAAAACAAAGCTAAAACATGCTTGCCTCCAGCAGGAGCCGATTACCTCTATCGATGTTAAGTTCACCTTCGATAGTGCACGTTTAGGGTTTTTCAGCTCCGCAAATGTTCTCCAAATAGCAGATGTCGCCCTTCGAATTGTGTTCTTGCCATGTTTTTTGCTATAATTTCGCCTAGTTTTACGAGTGAAATGTCCGCCATTTTTTTGTTTTCACAAGCAAAACAACTCGACCTCGTCCCCAGGTATTCTCAGTTAACGGTGCCTTAACCTGCACGAACGCTTCATTTTTGACGTCATTTCCTCGTTAAACACAAAATTCTTCCAAATTTGGCCATCAGGAACTGGTTATGGTGAATCATGCGTGTGCTTTTAGCCAATCAGAATCGGGGAAATATTTTGAATGAATAATTATTTATTGTTATTAATTGTTAATTGTTAATTAATGAATGAGACTGAGTATCTTATGAAGAATTATGGAGATCGAGGAGGGTGTTACCCGTCGAGGCCGTAGGCCGAGGCAGATAACACCCTCCGAGATCTCCATTATTCTTCATATGTTACGAAAGCCGAATTCAATAATTGTTTTATTATTCATTCAAAATAATTCCTAGTTTAAAAACGTAACTAAAACATGCTTACCTCCACCGATCCATCGATGTTCAGTCCATCTTCGATAGTGTACGTTTACGTTTGTCCGGCTCCGCAAATATTCTCCAAATAGCAGATGTCGCCCTCCGAGTTGTCTTCTTGCTGTTTTTGCTATGATTTTAACTATTACTTCGCCTAGTTCCAGCTGTAGTTCTTACTCTTGAAACGAGTGAAATGTCGGCCATTTTTGTTTTCACAACCAAAACAACTCAACCTCGTCCCCAGATCTTCTTGGTTAACGGGGCATTAACCTGCAAGGAAGCTGCACTTTTGGTGTCATCAGTTGATTAATCGCAAAATTCTTCCAAATTTGGTCATCAGTAACTGGTTATGGTGAATTATGCGTGTGCTTTTAGCCAATCAGAATCGGGGGAATATTTTGAATGAATAATATTAGCTATTATTATTCATTCAAAATATTTCCCCTTATCTGACTGGCTGAAAGAACACGCATAATTCACCATAACAAGCTACTGATGACCAAATTTGGAAGTATTTTGCGATTAATCAACTGATGACACCAAAAGTGCAGCTTCCTTGCAGGTTAATGCCCCGTTAACCAAGAAGACCTGGGGACGAGGTTGAGTTGTTTTGGTTGTGAAGACAAAAATGGCGGACATTTCACTCGTTTAAGAGTAAGAACTAGGTGAAGTAATAGCTAAAAACAAGGCAAGAACAGCAAGAAGACAACTCGAAGGGCGACATCTGCTATTTGGAGAATATTTGCGGTGCTGCACAACCCTAAACGTGCACTATCGAAGATAACTTAACATCGATGGAGGTAAACATGTTTTAGCTATGTTTTTAATTTAGGAATTACTTTGAATGAAGAATAAAACAATTAATGAATTCGGCTTTCGTATCTTATGAAGAATTATGGAGATCTCGGAGGGTGTTATCAGCCGAGGCGGCGGATAACACCCTCCGAAATCTCCATAATTCTTCATAAGATACGAAAGCCGAATTCATTAATTGTTAAGTAGTCAAGGAATATTTTTCCTGGTGACTGCTGAGTATTTCCTGCTGTTTCCATCAGAGGAATACTGAAGAGGGTAGGAATTACTCTCTTTTTGGTCAACATGAGGTGGAAGGTCTAGTTGGGGGGAGGAGGAAGAAAAGTCGGTCTCCGCTCATCTCCTTCCGTTCTCCTGTGGCTCGCACATTAACACAACTCGATCAGAGGCACAGGGGAATAAAACATCCGTGAGCTTCAAGGTGACTTCTTTTGTTTTATCCCCCCCAAACCTCAGAACCAAGTACCTCCCTCACCCCATAAACCCTTGTGGGCTAGACAATAAGAACCATTGTAGCTTTGTTCACAACCAACGCTATTATCAAAAAAACTCCTGGTCAGCGCTTCCCAGACAATTACTGCTATTGACATGCACAGTAAACCAGTTACCATGTTGTTGGTACTTTATGTCATAAAATAGACTCGCCGACAGAAGACTTCACTAGGCTGCCCGGCATAAAACCTGTGTTGCATGAAAACGAGAGGTTTTCTAGAACAGAAAGGCAACAGCTTATTATAAAAGTAATTAACCCAATAAACCTATCTCAATCGATCTACGGTCCTCACTGCACCGAGACTATGTGGACAGAGAACGCATTAATTTTGCCACAAGGTAAAAATGTTGTGTTTTAAGATTTTTTCCCTTGTCATTTTTCTTGAACTTGAAGGAATTGGCTGTTTTCATTTTTCGACATCAGAAAGTTTAAAGATTTGAATTGTCACACGTCGATTTCATCGGAAAGAACTTTAAAAAAATGTAAACAGATCAAACGGTCGATAACACAATTATTTTACACCCTAATGTGAGCCGTGACTAACGTATTTTCATGAAAGACAGTTATTCTGTTGTTTACTCCGAAATTTTAGGCGACACGCTTTTCACAACGAAATCCGTGGGTGGCTTAAGACTGAACTGAAGCGCACCTTGAAATTCAGTAGCTCGTGACCTTGTTTAAATCACAATTAAATCTGGGTCATAGTGCTGATTAGTCATTACACGAACTTAAATTGTTTTCTGTTCGAGCGATTTATCTCGATGCACAATGACTGACCTCTACATTAATTGAAACCCTATGGTTCATTCATATAATACTGTTGTGTACTCTCCATCACATTTACAGTGTGTACGTATTCACATCACCTTCAGTAAAATAACATGTGTAAGTCAAGCTTTATATGTCATGTGAAGTTTCGAGTAAAATCGATTTATAACATAGGTTTTTATAAGATCCCATTTTTCAATGGCTGTAGTTTACACCTTCATCAAAAGGTATGTATGGCGATGCGAGCTGTGAACTTTCGAAGTTTATCGAAACTTTATCCTAATCAGTCGTTTTTCCTGAAGTAGAGAAGACACAGAACTTGGGAGATTAGCATAACAAGGTCATGCACAAATTTAATTCAGATAAAAGCTTAGTAAGGTACAGATATAAACAAAAGCAAAACCTTTGGACCATTTTAAGAGCAACTGTAACTAAGTTTAAGCTTTAGGAAGCAAAGTCAACAAACTCTGAACTAGTGAGAGACTTGCCTTTTTCTCTTCACTGCTCATTTGCCCTCTCGCCAAACTGAAACCGCCAGCTTCGCAGGCTATTGAACTTGTGTGTGAAATTGTCGAAGTGTAAATTCCGTCGTCCGAGTCTTCTTTACCCTTATCCGAAGTTTAGACTTCTTAAAAAGGCGTCTGTTGCATCAAACAGAAGAAAATATAGAAATCGGACAAGACGCTATGGGAGCGTACACTTCTGCGTCGTGGTTGTGGATTAATTGTGAATGCATAGGAATAGTAAGAAATGATATTTTTCCAGATACCCTTCCATACAAATACCCTTACTTTTCTCCTTTTTTGTAACAGACGTGTTAACTTCTTCACCGGAAGTCTGCTAGGTGCATGGCTGTGACCCAGTTCGATTATAATTTCTGCCATAAATAATTGCGCACGGCGAGATCTTAGCTCCACTTCCTTTATTTTCTCTACAACAACACTTTCCTTATGTACAGTTAACTCCATACTTTTTCCAGCAACGTAACTATAAACTAACATCAGTACACTCCCTTACAAAACTTGCTGAAAATAAACAATCACCACACCGAGGATAATTCATGTACAACATCGCAACATAAACTAGAAATACTTATCTCGCAATAACCCTAGCGAAACTCGGTTTTTTAGTAGTGCCACTCAAGTTAAGTCCTGTCGGGCGGGGTTAGGAACTGGATAGGTACCCCACTGCGAATATCGTCGTAAAGGTCCCTTCTTTATTCTTTCTTTTCTTCTTCTTTTTTGTATATTGTGTGGTGTTATTTTTAAAAGTGTATTGAAAAGCATAGTTAGCATTATTTCGGCCGCTGCATGTAGAAAAAAAAAAAGAAACAAACAAACACGAAAGTACAGTTAGTCTCCATCGCAGCCGTTTTTAGGCTCATGGTTGCGTGACGAGCCTAAAAACGGCTGAGAAGGAGACTAGTTCGCGTGAAAATTATTATTTGGGCGTGACCCAAATAAAGTAATCGAAATGGGTTGTTTTGACGCAAAGTTGCAATAGGCACACAATACGTGCTAGCGTAAACAAGCGAAGCGAGGCGAATGTCTGCCATGCGAACGTCTTTTACCAGGTAAGAGGTATGTGGGAAAGAAAGCTCTGATAGCAAGCACGGCACTTTATCGCACTTTTACGATCTGAAAAGTTAATCTTAATCGTCAGTATTTTAACCTGATGAAATCTATCAAAAATATTTGGAATATTAACGTCGGGTTTTGGTCATAATAAGACGATTATTGTTCTGAGATGTCGGGAGCGTAAGGAGGTGTTGAGCAAAAATTTTGTGACTTGCAGCCTAGTAATATTAAAAGAAAGAGAAAAACTGCATTTAATTTAGGAATTGGTGAATAAACTTAGAAGGAATTGGCTTATGCCTGGTCGGTACCAAAGAAGCTTTTAAATAGACTCTATTTCTGGACCCCCACTTCAACAGCAACAAAAGAATAACCGGAGCGAACCAAAAAAGTCGATTCGGCACTTATAAGAACACAAATTTAATTTTCAAAACCACTGAATAAATGATTTAGAAAGTACTTTCCTTATATTATCTGCATCTTTTTCCTGCACCAGCTGCTGTTTCTCTTCTGGGATAACTTTGAAAATCTTTTTTAGCTTGACGCTTCGTGGTTGTGTTATTGTGTTCATTCACGAAAAAGAAAACTGGCTGTGTTTTTCCCGCCTTCTATCACGCCACTTTCCACCATGCTTTCATCACGTGCTGTAATGTAGCCCGAGCGGAGTACATTGCTTAATGAATCACGATCGGGATACATTTGATTTTAGTCAAGGCCACGTGACCAAGAATCAACCAATGGCAGTCCCTGTTTAGTTGAGTGAAAGTCTAGGAATATAACAGTGTAGTATATTATACACTTAATGTCAGATCCCGAGGGAAACAGTTTTTTTTCCCGAGGGTCCTGACGTCAGGACTCGAGGGAAAAGAAAACTAACTGGTTTCCCGAGGGACCTGACATTAAGTGTTTTGTTATATTTCTAGACTTTCACTTCCACAGGAGCAAAGAATAACGGGAGCGAACCAAAACAGTCGACTCGGTACTTATAACAACACATATTTAATTCTTAAAACCACTGAATGAATGATTTAGAAAGTACTTTCCTTATATTATCTGCATCTTTTTCCTGCACTAGGTGCTGTTTCTCTTCTGGGATGACTTGAGAAATCGTTGCTTTTTACCTTGAGGCTTCGTGTTTGTGTTCAAGTTGTTGTGTTCATTCACGAAAAAGAAAACTGGCAGTGTTTTTCCCGCCTTCTGTCACACCGCTTTCCACCGTGCTTTGATCACGTGCTGTAATGTAGCCCGAGCGGGGTACATTGCTTTTGAATGTACAACGATCGGGATACATTTGATTTTAGTCAAGGCCACGTGACCAAGAATCAACCAATGGCAGTCCCTGTTTGGTTGAGTGAAAGTCTAGGAATATAACAACAAATGTCAATAGTTACCAATGTTCCTGTAAACAGTGCTGCGCTATAGCAGTGTTATAAATCCCTGTAGTTACTGGGCTTCTGGAACTTTATCTGCCCTTGTTAGTAAGCGGAATACACTGTACAATGTGATGTCTGTGGCAAGACATATTATGCTTGTCGATCTTCCTCAGTGTCATTATCAGTGGAGCTGATATAAACCTTACTGTCCGGGCTGTAAGCACTTGTGTCCTATGTTGCAATTTGGCTGAAAGCAAGTCTGTGTTGAAGATGTGCCTTTCAAAACATTGTCATGAAGTGACCGGATTTTTGTTGTGGATTGGAACATACTGTATTAAAGCAAACTCGTCAGCGCAGTGAGACGCACTGAAAATTGTTCCTGTATCTCGATTTTCGCTCATATTTTGAAGCTACTAGCCCAAATTGATTCAATGTTTTTTTGTAAAATACTTTTGCAGTCAATTTTTCTGGCCAGAATAATAAATAAGAACAAGACGAAAAGTCACCAACTTATCCTGTACCTCGTGCAGTGGGCAATCGGCTAATTCCGCAACGTAGGGTCTCATCTGATCTGATGGGTCTCACAAGTGAGTCGGTTCAAACCCCGGGCAAGCCAAAAAAATCATTCTTTCTTCCTCTAATAACAAAGAAATCAAACTGATCTCGAGATATCTCGAACTAATTGGGCGCTCACTTCGTCAAATAGCCGAATAAGCCGAACACCTTCAAACTTTGCATGTCCAATCTCGTCCCAAAAAAGCAACTTTCGTACATTCCTGAGCGTCGCGAATGCTTTACTTCGTGCTTCGCCGAAGTAAAAAGTCAATTTGCATTCTGCGCTGAAATGGTCGAAACACGCAACCCCTTCTGGGTTAAACTGGGTGAACAATTAACAGTGCCTGTATGTAAAAGTGCGCGGATATTGCTGAACGAAACAGATTTATAACTGGGCTTTCCCTACAGCCCAGTAACTATAGCAGCTTTTGATGGGTCATGACAATAATCATAATAATAATAACAACAATAATAATAATGATAATGAAAAAATTGTTATAGTGATAATATTTTCAGTTATTCCTATATTTACTCTCGACAGGTTTTTATGCCGCAAAAGCTAGTGAGGCCGAAGAAGTTACTGAAACAGACAAAATTATAAAACATAACAGGGTTAAGAAACCCAATTGCCTTATTAACTATGTCAAGCGTGGTCCAGATTTGAACTCTGGACTACTGTGAACAAATCCTTGCAAGAAGTCACTTGAGGCTTCCGAATTGCAAGTTCAACTCTGTAAACTTAAGCGTTTCGCATGTGCCTGCTTATCACGTTATGTTTCATTTTCAGACTTATGACACAATGGCGATTTAATCGTGGGATTGAAGAGCAAACTAAAGCTTTCCTAGATGGATTCAATGAAGTTGTTCCACTTTACTGGCTGCAGTATTTTGATGAGAAAGAAATAGAGGTATTTCGACCTCCAAGGGCGCAGGTCTAAAACCGCACTATTCTTAAGCGTAACGTAGTACATAGTGCTGGCAAAAATTCGAAATATTGTGGATGTTAGTGTGCTGTAATGCGCTCTTGATTTTGATAATTTGAGAAGTCCTTCATGAGTTGGTGTCTGCTTAAAGCCTGGGCCCGAATTTTGTTGGATAGAAGTAAAAAAGTTGAACAGATTCGAGAAATCGATTTTTGGAGGGTCACTCACAAATACCTTTAATACACACTCACAAAAACATAGGTTTCTTGCCAGTAGCCGAACATCCTGTGCGTAAGAGAGAATGTATCGAAAATGCTAAAATTTAGACTCGATTAGTTCCGCGGTCTCCCGGGTTCGGTCTCATTTTCCCGAGCAGCGGCTGATAATCGCCGGAACCTGCTAGAACTATTGGGCCTGATCCGCCGCCGCCCCTCAGGTTAAGCCGGCACTGATACATACTACTTCATTACCCTTTTTTTAAAAACAGACTTTTATTTAGCGTGGTTATATAAACAGGATTGTTTAATGGAACGTATACTACTCGTAATTCGGGATTATTTGCCATTATTGGCAGAAAAAGTCATGCTGATAAGTTCTCGTTAATAAAGAAAAGCATCATCTCGCAGCCGTTCTTTTAAGCCTGTTCATCGGCTCGGGGGGCTGCTGTTCTGAATTAGGCTGCAAACTTTTCATTAGCCTATTTATTTGAACTACTCTTCGGTGATGGACAGTGTAGCTTTTGACATGGCCCTTGGCCTCCCAAAATCTTGGCATAGTCAAAGAACGACTGAAACCTTGTTTTGTCTTTGCCAATACGTGCTGGGCAACTTCTTGACTTATATATTATATGTATATATCATATATTATTTGTTTTTCATTTTCGTGTTTTTTTCTTTTCTGTTTAGTTAATGCTCTGTGGAATGCAAGAGATTGATGTAGATGACTGGCAAAATAACTCCGTTTATCGACATTACACGAGGAATAGCAAACAGGTCACTTGGTTTTGGCAGGTAAATGAAGTTTCTTAAATACGGTGTAATTAGTCATTAGAAATTGATAACAGGCAATTACAGTCAAATCCCGTTAATACGGACACTGACGGGGCCATAGAAAGTGGTGTCCGTAATAAGCGGGTTGAATTAAGAAAAATGTAAGGGCTCTCTTTCCCAAGAGACAAATCGAGTCAAAGCAAAGTGTCCGTAATAAGGCTGTAATACTGAAATGTCCGTATTAAGCGGGTGTCAGAAAAGCGGTCTTTGACTGCACTGGTAACCCTTAGATGACTTAGGGAAGAAGCATGCTTTTGCTTAGGGTCAGTGTTAGTACTACAATAGTGCAAAATTACAGCGTTTGTATGAAGTAAAGTTCGGACCCTGATATTTGTAGGAAGTAATAAATAAATGTCCATAGAACTTACTTTGCCATTAGTTTTTGTTGTCTTTAATGCTTACACGGAGTTTTTCGGACAATAACAACTGTGAAGTAAGTGTCGTGGACTGTTATTCATTATTTCCTTCACATTTTAGGATCGGAAATTTACCTCGTATAAAACAAGCACTAGAATGCAGGGTTGAAGGTAAAACCCACTTTTAGAGGGTGATCAGCAAATTCTTTAAAATTGGGACACAGAAAAGAAGCCAGATGTATCCCGCCCTGTATTAGCTTTAGCTGAGTATGTTTTTTCGGTGTCTGTGTTATGTTAGGCGCTTCGTTCATTTGATAATGAGAAGAGAACACGATTGTTACAGTTTGTGACCGGCACATGTCGTCTTCCTGTTGGAGGATTTGCTGAGCTTATGGGTATGTAATCTGCTTAGACTCACTAGGCCATTATTTGGAGGTGAGTATCACAGCCTCCCCTTCAGGATCAAGAAGCTGTCCCAAACCGTTTTTTATGGCAAGCAGCTCACATGAGAACGAACGAGTAAAAATGTGCTTATTTCCTGCCGAGCGAGCTTTATGAATGTGCGTGGATTACTTGAATGTGTCGCACTAAAAACTCGCCCGGTCTGGGTTTATATACTTATAATATAAAAGAATGAAAATATATGAAGTGAATCTTATTTTGAACTACGAATAAATATAGGACAGTGGAAATAATCCTCGCATTTGTAAACAACCGTAGCTGCTTAAAATGAACTTGAAGAAATTCAGGCTAGACCGGGAATCGAACCTTGACCTTTGACCGGGTGCATCGCAAAGGTCATGATTCGATTCTCGGTCAAGCCTGAATCTTTTTTCAGGTTCTTTTTCAACCGCTGCCTTAGGTTGTTTATTCAACTGCGAGGATCATTTCCACTTAAATATACTTATAAATATCGGGTTGGGTGGTCTCGCGATTAACTCGTCGGTACTTAGCAGTGAATAAACTAGGGAGCTTATCAACGACGACTGCAACGGCTACGAAAACGTCACTTAAAAGCTTTAAACTTTATCGCGTTTAGCAAATTTCTTTGGTGTTGAATTCTAAAGGATTGTATCAAAACTCAGGAAAAGAAAAAGAAAATTGTTGTTTTGTGTTCCCTTCCTCGACAAAACGTGAGAATAGGCACTTTCACGTTGTAGTCGCGCAACGAAATGTACATAAAAGTGTGATGCACGTGCAAGGTTGTTATTTTGCCAAGCTAAAGGTGATGTTACACGAGACGATTCTCAACGACGATTTTTAGCGCAACACGGCGTTTCAGCATTGTTGCATGTCGTTTCGCATTGTTACAACGTTGTTCCAACATTGCAACGCCGAGTTGCGCCAAACATCGTCGTTGCAAATCGTTCCGTGTAACATTACCTTGAACCTATTCGTTTGTCGCGGGCTCGTTGCCGTCGCCGTCGCTGTTGCTTAATCTCCCTTTTATCTTGTACCTATGAATACGGTGGAAGTATTTAACCATGGAGTTGCCAGGCTCATTCCGTCGTTAAGTACCATTCTTCTCAACGATGACACCATGGCAGTTGAAGGCGAGATGAAAGTCGGCAAAGTCTATCTACAAAATCCAACCTGTCTGAATGTGCAAATGGGCCACTTGCACCAAGAGGTCACGTGACTAATGCTTCCTTTAAACAATGAGTTGGAATCTTGCTAATGCCAAAAATTGACAGAGTACATAAAAATTATCTTACACCCGAAATTTGAGAGGAGACGCATTTAAGGGAGATATTTCAAGGCACTTTGATTTTTCAACAAAGTAGTATGATTTGTATCGGCTGCCATGTTGGAAACTACTTTTTGCTTTTATCTTGTTAAACGTTTGATAGTTACGCTCAGATGTGCTCTAAACGTTACCACATTATCTTTTCAACATTTTCATTGAAGTTTAAGTGTAAAATTTGCGTTCAGAAAGAGGTAATCCACAGTTCGGTCACGTGACCAGCTACGAACTTAATCATTTTAAGAAAATGGTGCGGGTCTGAAAAACCAAATCACTATTGTTTTGTTTAAGATATGACCCACTAATCGTTTTTCGAAGGCAAAATCATATAACTTTCATTTTCATAAAAACGATGTCACATGACCTCTTAGCGCAAATGGCCTATTTTATCGTATCTCATCAGCTGAGATATAAAATCTGTGGTATAAATGTATCTGTTTTCCTAATGTCATTTTTCAATGTCGTTATAGGAAGCAACGGGCCCCAGAAATTTTGCATTGAAAAGGTTGGCAAGGAAACGTGGCTGCCACGCAGTCATACATGGCAAGTATCCTCTTACTCAGTAAACTCCTCGAGAATTTCTTCAGTCTGATTTTGTTACAAACACATGAAACGTTAAGACTGTGTTATTGTAAAAAACAAATGTACAACAATTCTCCATAGTCTATACTCGTTTCAGGGCTCAAAATAACGGCCAAGATAACCATTTTTTCGGACAGTTGGCCGGTCATTTTGACCCACAACTTTCAAGTAAATAGCTAGAAAAATACATTTCTTCGCATTAATTCTGGAAATTTCAAAAACTGTTAAAAAGTACAGATGGCACGCCTACGTTTTGCGGCTCCGCGAATCCTACTGAGCATTTGTCAAAAATAAAATTCAAGCCTTCATTCATACACTTCATTCAAACACGGTAAAAACAGTAACAGTTATAGGACAATTAAAATAGTAAAACTGGTTTTCATGTTTGCCGTGTGGGAGTACGAGGGGGGACATAAGGCAATTGGTTACATTTTTAAACGTAGTAAAAGATGTGGTCTCTCTGGCATCGCGGGGAAGGCTATTCCACAAATGGGCCCCACTGCAGCAGATACTTCGTGGTTCGTACGTGAGGGTATTCGAGTTATCACACAAAAAATAGAGTTTTGAACATAAATGTCAATCCCATGCACACATTTTGCACACGAAGATGTTGTACTTTTCCCTTTTTACAGTTCGTACGGGAAAGAACGCAAATTGTTCACGAGAAAATTTGCTCAAACGATTTTAAGAAACCCTTTTCGAACATCTGCAACTAAATTATGCTTCATGCACCGTGAAGGTTGATAGCCTAACCTCATTTGCTTCCAAGAAAATGTTCAAACTGCCGAAATATATTTCTACTCATCTCATGTTATTCCACTTATTGAAACAATCTTTAATTATTTTGTCAACTGGTTCTTCCAATGTTATTCCCTAACGCTAGTGTTTCTACCAAAGTTGGGCATCTCTACTAAGCCACTAGGGAAATCTAATACGCTTTAAAAAGGACAATCACATGACTTTTGTTGGGAATATAGTTTATTTGTTGCCCGAGTAGCATCATTTGCGCCCGAGCGGAAGGAAAGATTGTTTAACATGAAATCATTTTGCGGACTGCAAATTCTATTTACAGCCCGCACTTTGCCGTTTGGCTCGCGAAAAGGAGCGTTTTAGAGAGGGGAGTTTGTCATTTGGCCGCGTGTAGTGATAATAATAGGCCATTTGCACGATGCCGTCGTTTTACTACTACGACCAGAATTCTTTTTGTTTTTCCTTTGATATGTAAATTTGGTAGCCCCAGTGTGGGGTTTAAATGACAAAAGCCCTAATTTGCACAAGAAAGCAAAACCGTGAAGGATCCTGGTCATAGTAGTAAAATGACGCCATCATGCAAATGTCCCATTGCTATTATGACTTTTAAAGGCGACAAGCATGTGTGATGTGGTTGCACTTAATTTGTTGGAAAGTAAAAGATCTGATGAAATTTTAACGCGAAAGAATAAAGCTTTTTTACAGGATTAGCTTCTCTGTGCAGCTTTTTAAAACAATCAGCTGTCTTTTAAACTTCTAGAACCAGAATTACGCCGCATTCTTCCGAGTTAAAGTCTTTGTCGAAATATCAATTATTATTATCACTACACGCGGCCAAATGACAAACTACCCTTTCTAAAACGCTCCTTTTCGCGGGCCAAACGGTATAAGTACAGGCTATTAATGGAATTTGCCGCCTTCAACATGATTTCATGTGAAACAATCGTTCCTTATGAAATAAATTTGTCCTATTTGGCCTTGTGTAGTGATAATTAAGATAATCACATGACTTTTGGAGGGCACATAGTTTATTGGGTCTCTCGTAGCATCATTTGCACCCTCGTTCCGCTCGGGCGCAAATGATGCTACTCGAGTCACAAATGAACTATATGCCCTCCAAAAGTCCGTAAGTGAGTCTCCTATTAACGTTTCATTTGAAACGTTTCGTTTGCCCTTTAACAGTGTCGTGTTTAGTTGCCAAAATCTTGAAAGCTGAGTGTCGCGTTTAATTATCTTCAAAATCGTGAAAAAGGATAATCATTAAATTCTCTGAATATTAGGTGAACAATGTTTCTTTACATTTTTCTCATTTCGCAAGTGTAACGAGTTTTTGAGCATACGAGGCGATACTTTTTTCTTAATTGGTGATTACTTTTTTAAAATAAAGATTTTCTTTATTTTTACCAGCCATGACCGAGCCAAAACGTCTTTGGCCGGTCGTTATTTGACCGCTCGGAAACGAGCCATGACCGAGCTAAAATTTGTTCGGCTGGTGGTATTTTGACCGGTCTGTGAAACGAGCCATGACCGAGCTAAAATTTGCTTGTCCGGTCAACATGACCGGCTGCTGTCGGAAAATTATTTTGAGACCTGCGTTTAGACGACAGAAATAACATAAATTTTACAGTGCAACCCGGCACTCGTCCACTTGAGTATAGAGAGTATAGGCGTTGGGAAATTACTCTCTATTTAACAATTATGCATGTGTTTCATGTCATTATACGTAAATCATAGCTGAAAGTAGAATTTCACCCTTACATCTTTGTTTTGTTTGAAGTCATTGTCTTGAAGAATGAGGAATTTATGAAATTTAGTTGAGAACCTTGATTGACTGGAGGCATCACTGGAAAAAAAACTTGATGTAGTGTTTTTTATTTTCAGTTTCAACCGCCTGGATCTTCCTCCATACAAGAGCTACGAACAGTTGGTGGAAAAACTAACTTTTGCAATAGAAGAAACGGAAGGTTTTGCTCAGGAGTAAAGTTTAACAATGAAAGACCGCCCTGATCAAGCTGTTGTATAGTAAACATATTGTGGCGTCTCTTTTCGTGGCTTGTTCTGAAACAAGGCGTTTTGACCAACGTGTTTGTGGCATAAACTAAGAAAGCGCAAGCTTTGCCGTGTAGAATTAAAGCCGTGCTCATACACCCTCCCCAAATCGCCTGCCATGTAGGCGGGCTAGAAAACTGCCAAAATTCATGCTAAATATTACACTTTAGCGGAGTGCCGGCGCAGTCCATTAGACTAGGGAAGTTGTAAAAGTGTTCAAAATGTCCTTGATAACGGTTCATGACGTACGCAAAAATATCTTAATTCTGATTCTCAAATATTATATGGCGTTTATTTTCGGCTGTAGCTTTCTTTTTAATGGTGTAAATGAAAATAATGGTGATGGTTAATTTGTGACACCCTCACCTCAGTGTAATAAGAAGAATTTAAGTACAAAATAACGTGTAAAGTTAAAGTTGATTAAAGCAATAAACCCTGGCGTGTTAGTTGATGATATTAACCAGCACGTGCCACTTGTTTTTGTGATACTCAAGTGATCATTTGGTCTCTACCAATCGATGGCCTTTATTTTGTTTTTTAAAAGCGTAGAATACTAATTGTTTCGTTGATAATTTGATCAAATTAGAAAAAATACGTGTCTTGGTATTTCAGTTAAAAGGTAACTCATCCTAATCGTATTCGTTGAGAAAAATGCCAAAGGTAAACCCTAAAAAAAGTCCGCGTTTATCATTATTGATTATCATCGTCTTAGAAATCTATTGTTTGGATTTTTCTTATTACCGATATAACACGCCAGTTATTACCCTAGGGAACTTAGTTTGTTGATTAGTTCATTTTGGAAAGTTTCTCTGTGACATTCGTTCTTGTTAAATTCAAGTTCAGTGAGGAGGATATCATTCTTCTTGAGGTAGATCTTTGAGAAAGAATTTGAGGTAGAGTATTAATTTGTCTCCCTTTCAATATTAAGGAAAATCTTGGCAAATAGTAATGTGATTACATTCAAAGATGGGTTTGGTGTTAGCAATGAGCACATTTGAATGTATTAAATAGAACTCAGGGACAACAAAGGCATATGTATTTATTTATTTATGTGTAGTTAGTATGCGTTATTGTATTACATGTACCAAAGAACCCACGCATACAAGTGCTCCAGAAGCAGGGGAAATAAGCCTGTGCGCTCTCTTGGGCCTGATAGTCTCCTTGAGCGCCTACTACTTAAGCTACGAGGAAACCTTTTGAGGAATTACTTGGCATACTGTTGCTGTGTTAATACACTCACTTATCACTACGTTTGCGTGCAAGTAGAAATTCAAAGCAACCAGTTACTGTATATCGTACATACTGTAACTCTCGGCTATCAGGATATTGCGTGTCTTTGAGGCTATTGCATCAGGGGAAAGAATTTTGTAGCATTTCCAAATCATTTGCAGTTTTAAGTGGGTAAACCGTTTACCTCGACCTCATCCAGTAGGGAGGATTCTGCTTATCTTTTTTAAAAATATACCCAAAATTACGCTCGTTGTACGTGGTCACTTTTTGTATCACTCATTAATGTCAACCCACAGTGAAGTAATCCAACCACAAAGGTAAGAAATATAACATGGATTATTATTATAATCACCCATATATGCTTTCAATTCCGTCGAGATCAACCGTGGTTCATCTTTTTTTAATCGTTTACATAATGCCACATTACAAAATGGTGGACTTTGTCTAAATTTGTCGACGTGGAATAGATTAGCGATTTTCAAAATTGCGTAACATTAACTGAGCATTCACCGCGTATATGTTGCTCATATTCCTTTTGTAACACATGGTACTTAGTTTTTCACATTTGGGTAAAATAAGAAAGTGAAAAAAATAAGCACTCTATCTCGAATGAACGCCTTTCTTTAAGTTACCAAGAGTACTTTGTAGCCTTAGCCTGCGAAGCAAACGTCTCCGCGCGAGTTCGTCGCGAAAATTGGGTCAAAGAGCAAAAAAGAGGCCCAGGACGCCAATTCGAATTACTATGGTGTGACTGTTTTTACGTTTTTCAATTTATGGGTGATACAACTTTGCGGTTAAGCGAGCTTGTACAGTAACTCAGTGTGATTTTCCACCGGCCAATCGGTTGAGGTCTTTGTGTAGGGAAAAGACCTAGTGACGCTGTTTCCCACGCCCTGTTTTTCAATGAAATGTACTGGAACTAGACGTTTACAACTTTCGACGTTATTCCAAAAAGAAGGCAAATAGATAACTATTTTTCATGGTCTGTACTCTTACAGACCCCAGAAATATGGAGTGAAAGTGTTAAGTTTGATGCAAAGTTCGTAAGAAAGGAAAATTGACAGTCGTCTTCAGGGTTAAAGCCGCTGACTCGAATTGTAAATGAATCATTGTCGCAGGTAACAGTGCCGCAAAAATACGCAAAAATAACCCCACTCTATAAGAAAGGAATGTCTACCGATATGGATAATTACCGTCCAATTTCGGTTTTACCAGTTGTGTCCGAAGTGTTGGAGAGGGTTGTACATCATCAACTACATAGGTTTCTAAGCGAACATAAACTGCTCAGCCCTTTCCACTGTGGCTTCAGAAGGAACCATTCAACTTAATTTGCCGCTATTGCCTTTTCAGATTACATCCGGCGTGGTATGGACCTTGGATTGCTCACTGGGGAGGTATTTTTTGACTTGCGCAAGGCATTTGACTCTGTTGATCACGAAATACTTATTAGCAAACTAGAGTCATATGGACTTAAGGACATTGAGTTAGACTGGTTCCGAAACTACCTGACAGACCGAAAACAACTCGTGAGTTTTGGTAAGAAATCTCTCATCCATGCGTTATTACATCGGGTGTCTCGCAAGGGTCAATTCTTGGCCCTTTCCTCTTTGTGCTGTTCGTCAACGATCTGCCTATAGTGCTAGAACGATGCCAGATTCAGATGTACGCTGACGATACAGTTATGTATTTCACCGCAAGTAATGCCCAAGAAATCAGTAGTACTCGTACCAGTGAACTTGCGAAGGTTAATGACTGGCTTGTAGACAACAATCTTTTTATTCACCAAGGCAAAACAGAATGTGTTTTATTTGGTACTGGTTCTAGGTTAGCAACCGCTAATCTCTCTGTGAATATCGATGGCAAGGAGCTAACACGGGTTGCTGAGTATAAATACCTAGGAGTAATTTTGGATGAGTCGCTTTCATGGAACGCGCACGTGAATTATTTAATAAGCAAAGTTGGTAAGAGAATGGGAATTCTTGGCCGCACCAGGCGGAGCATTAGTATGCATACTGCTGGTATAATTTAGAGATCATTTATTCTTCCTGTTCTTGATTATTGTGATACCGTTTGGAACTGTTGCGGACGCACGAATGCTGATAATATATCATGCAAACCAACAGCAGTGATGAAGCGCTAGCTGACCTTAAATATGATACGCTGGGTCTTAGACGGGAGATTCACGCGTTAAACCTTGTGAAGAAATGTCTAAATAAGCGCTGCCCGTAATTTTTAATGGACTACTTTTATTGTAAGTTGTGATAGAAATATCGTACAGAGAAAAAAGCAGCAAAGTAATCATCTCCGTCTTCCCTACATCAAATTAGAATGTACCAAAAAAGCTTTTTGTTATCATGGATGTGAAGTTTTTAATCGTAATTTGTAGTTTTTATTGATAGTTTGTAATAATTTTCATCCTTTTTTAGGATATTTTTCTATTAGCTTAGTTAGGACTAGTTTTAAGTATTTTTAACATATTTTTAACATATATTTCTTTTTATCTAGGGCCTCTAAGGATATCAGTTTTTGTAACTGTAGGAGTTACCCTAGCTAAATAAAAGTATCTTCTTCTCCTTCTTCTTCTTCGTCTTCTTCTTGTTCTTCTTGTTCTTGTTCTTGTTCTTCTTCTTCTTCTTCTTCTTCTAAAAAGGCTTAGGGTGACATCAGAAACTCATAAGGGGTTGAAACGTGTAACTCTCATATGTTTGCTTTGTCCGATGCTCGTGATTATTCATTTTAGAAAGTACCATATTTGCAACGAGAAGAAGAGATAACTGACCAATCAAACTTCGTAAACAACGTGACAAAATTTTCCTTCAGGTTCCCGCGCCCACTTAAAAAAATGGCCGACAAACGGGTGAAAAACTCCCGAAAGCCGAGAAAGCGTTCAAAGGTTGAAACCAGTGAAAAATATTTTCGAATAAAATTCATTAGCTGCGTATCGAAAATGTCCAAAATCTGAACCTGATATCTTCGCAAAAAGCGATGCTTGTAATGAATGTGAGAAGCATTTTAAAAGCTTAAATTAAACTTGGATGTTGCATGTAGTCACGATCGTGTTTTGAGCTAATTTTATGAATGAACAAACTCAAAACAATAGACAGAGAAGCCGTTTCTTGAAAATTTTTATTCAACGTCCAAAAAGTTAATCCTTTAAAGCAATTCGGAAAACACTATCTGGATCGTGGATCCGTTCACGCAAGCGACATCGGCTAAGCACATGGCAAAATTCAACACAAAATCCCTCTCAAATCAGGGCACATTTTGTAATTTTTCTTTAGCGCCGAAGAGAAAAATTTATAAAACGTCTATGAAACATTGAAAAATACATAAATTCCCTTTCAAAAACGTAATTGTCTTGGCCATAGAGTGCAAAATGTACCTGAAAATTCAGCAAAATCTTCGCTGACTTGGTTGCATTTCAAAACAGACCATGGGCTCCGCCGTGAAGAAAACAAGGTTGAATTCCTCGAAGGACGATTTCTTGATGAAAAGCTTCCCTTTCTCCACAAAAAGAAAGCTGAGCATTCTTTTGAACTTTCTCTTTCCATTTTTTGTCTTTTAACGGTGTATTTTTAACCTTGAAATGCAGAACTCTTGTCTTAAAACATCTGCATGGTGATCGCTCAGCAGCCATTTTGTTGAAAATGGATATTCCCTCACTAAGATTTCCAAATATGGTCAAAATGAATGTTCACAAGC